GTCATGATTACCATACCTATGTGTCTTCATCAGATTTCTAGAGGTGATGTTTATAGTTCAAGCATACTTTTTTCATCTATCTTTTATACCAGTACTTTCTTATCATCAGAACTTCTGTTTTGCAAGTATCCAAAAACTGTACGTTTTGCAAATGACTGGAAATGTGTATGATTGACACTTAGCTACAGTACCGACCAGACCCAACCTGACACTAAGCAGTCCCAGAGCAGTCCCGGGGACTGCTTTCTGGGACTGCTTTAGCAGTCCCACAACAGTCCCAGAGCAGTCCCACAGTGGTCCCATAGCAGTCCCAGAGCGGTCCCAGCAGTCCCAGCGGTCCCAGAGAGCAGTCCCAGCAGTCCCAGAGAGCAGTCCCAGCAGTCCCAGAAAGCAGTCCCAGTGGGCAGGGTTTTTTAATTTAATGGGCGGAGGTAACTCAGAAATGAGATTTGCAATAAACAATGGAACTATAAAAGGCAGTAGAAATTGATTCTGGGTAGTATTCCAGGACTCCTTACATGTACGCGGTCATTTATGAATAGTACGCGCATGGAAACAAATTGAAATAATATTTATTGAAGGAAGAAGGCTTTCACATGTGCATGTATGAATTAAAATGAACATGAATATTTAATTAATATTCAATTTCTTAATTTTCTGTGATTGATACTGTTTCCCATACCCGTATTTATTTTTTATACAGAAAATGAAGTTAATTATTTTCCACCAGTAAGAATTAGTTTTAAATAGATCTTATCGTTATATGGCCAATTTCCATACTATCAGGATATTCAAAAGGAATTTTCTTAAGTATAGGGGCTTTTAGAAAATTCTTTGTAAAATTTTGCCAAATATTATTTTTCAGTCATGATTATTTTTACTGACATGTCAATTTAATTATTGCTAATTTCTCTATCTTTAAAATACTCAATTTTAAGTATTTTATTTGTAAATGTTAGAATGTACTTCTGTAAATCACCAGAACGGATCCCTCAGATTATGTTCAAAATTATTAATCCTGAAAGAAATCATATTTCATTTATCAATTTTATTTGTGCATTACGTACCGGTAGATTGAAATTAGTGTCATTGTTGACCAGCATGTTCAATGATGTGAAACGCTGATACGTATATCCAAATAACATGCACTGATTTTCTGCCCTGAGGCGATTGAAACCGCGAGTGTTGATACCATTTTATAAACATTAATCGGCCAGGTAAACACAAGCAAAACAAAAAATAGATAAATCACAATTCCCGGTATTTTCAACTGTTTATTTATAAAATAAATGTACCCTTTTGATAATTTGTTTATAAATTAAAAACTACCGTTAATTCATTGATAAATTCCCCAATGATTATTCACATTGGTTCACATGTACATTGTTTGAGTTACGAAAGAATGGCAGCATAATTTTATTTCATGGTCATTTAATAAATTGTTAGACTTTATTTGGAGGTTGCATGGACGACTTTTTTTAGCGTGGTACTCATAAAACATGTAGCTTTTCAATTAAAAATCTTATATCTACCTGTCATGATTATTTTTAGAAAGTGCCAATAAATGCAAATTTTGAGTGCACATAATTTTACATTCAATTAAAAATAGGCCTACATGTAGATATTTTTTTTCATAAACCTGTAGTTTATCTCTAGGTATAAAAAATCTTCTCCTGACTTCCTTATTGAACAACTTTATTTAAAAAAAAAATATTCTAAACTATATTTGTGTAAATATAAAGTCTCTGAAAATATTAATTAACTTTAATAATCTCTTCTTATCAAAAGACTGTAAGAAATCCTTGCTTTATTAATAGTTTAAACTCCTCTCTGCTGCTAGTAAATGTCTGCAAATTCAGAAAACACAAGGGGGCGGAGCTATCGTGTCACTCAAAACCTCTTTCACACATGAGTGATCAAAGCAGTCCCAGAAAGCAGTTCCAGGGACAGCTGGGACTGCTAGGTCTGCTTTTTAGAGCAGTCCCAGAGCAGTCCCATAGCGGTCCCGGAGCAGTCCCGGAGCAGTCCCAGAGCAGTCCCAGAGCGGTCCCAAAGCAGTCCCGGGGACTGCTTGGATGGCAGGTTGGGTCTGGTCGGTACTGTACATGTATATATGAATGCTGGAGTAAATAAGAATGTGTAAAACTTAAACTTTTGATAAATCTGACACAGACCAACCTTAAACAGATATTGCATCTTGGGGACCATATCAGTAGTGAGAATTTGGGATCTGCATATGTAATTGTTGTTTTTGGTATGAGTGATCTACTTCTTAAAATGATGTGAAGTCTATCAATGACCTTTAATACTTGCACATTTGCTTTGGGTGTACATATAAGTTATAACTGTACATTTCAAATGACTGTAACACATGAAGGATCAGCTGGTTAAAGATTTTTAAGGAGTTTTGCTTTGTAAGTATTCATTATTGATGAAAATATGTTTTTCAACTTGAATATGTCTTACAAGACTAAGACTGTAGTTTAAATGATCTTTCCTAGAGGAGTGTAGATATAATAATCCTTGCTGACAGTAGGTTTTTTTGTTACCTTTTTTGTGGGCAATATAACTAACTAGTTCTTTTTAAGTTATATAGAATCTGATTAGTATCTCCATTGGGAACAAGTGAATTTAATGCAGGTTGTTTAAATTCAAGGTGAACACAATGCAACATACACAGTTTCCAATTCAAAAGATGGCTTGCAGTTTATCAAGGTTAGACATGGACATCCCGTTGAAAAATCTACTGGATCATATACCAAAGTAAGACCATATTTACACTGTTTCAACTCTGAAGAAAGTTATACATGTATGTGTCTTGCATATATATTGAAAATATTTTTTTGTACTGGATCATATACAAAAGTAAGACCATAATTACACTGTTTCAACTCTAAAGAAAGTTGTACTTGCATATACATTGAAAGTATGTATGTATTTTCATTTTAAAGTAAGTTATAGTATCATGTATATTGAAAGTACATATGTTTTTTTTGTTCTAAAATAAGCAATGATGATCTTGTATTCATTGCTGTTTGGGTTAACACCCTGAAAACAAAATGTGGAAAAATATTTTGTTGGTCATTCTAACAACCAATTAAATATTTTCCACTTTTAATTCTAGACTTGATCCAAATTTCAACTTTGTCTATGCTGTGGTTGGCAATTCAAATAACAATTGTCACAAAATTAACACTGATTTTATTTTACAGACTCTGCAATTCCATGACTATCTGGGGACAATACATAGTGTACTCATTGACGAGGACTTCACATCTCCAAAGATGCACCACAGGTCATTGCCTTGTCCCTTCATAATTTTTATTGTAAATAAAAACAACTTTATTATGAGAATATACATGACATATATTTTATTTACTGTTATTTTTTTTTCTTCAAACAGTTTTGACCCTCATGCAAACATGAGAAAAGTTAAAGCAGTGAATGAATTCAGCAACATGGGTAAGTTGAACATTATCAATATTGAAACATGACAACTGTAGTTGTACTTATTTGAAGCATGTTTTCAATGGTTAACAAAAATAACAAGTGCTTTATTTAAGGAAGCTCTAAACACTAACAGAAACTGTTTTTTTGGACTCAGAGAAAAATATATCATATATAGATATGCATATTGAGACTTTTTCCTTCATTTAGAACATAAAGCCTTATTTGCGCAGGAAAAATGTTCAAAGACAATAGAGATCACGGTTGTATACTTACACTGGGAAAATTAATGAAAATAGTTAATTGAATTTCTTACTCTTGGTCTTATATAATGCTAAAAATATATTAATCTATTATAACTTATGTAATTAACATTAAATAACAATTTCTTTAATCGAACATCTAAGGGCAGATCACTCTAACTGCATAAAACTACACAATAACTCTAACTGCATAAAACTACACAATAAATAGAGCACTTTATTGTGCAGTGTTTAGAGCATCCTTAAACTGGATAATTTCTCTTTGTCAATTATAGATAAATATAAAAAATATTCAATAACAATTTTATTTAGGAAAAAAGCTTTATTTGCCACAATAATTTGTGAAGAATGAAAAAAAAAAATATTTATGGAATGTTCCCAAGATTAATATAATTGTTCAATAGAATTCATTTTAACAAATGTGAAGGTATGCCAGTCCTCACTTCAATTTGTCCAACTAAACATGATTTATTATGTTTAGCTCCCCTGAAACAAAGGCTCAAGCATGTTTTACTGATAAAAATTTGTCTGTAATCTGTTGTTGTCATTGTCAATATCATTGTAAACATGCATTTTCCACCCACATTTTCATCTTTTGAAGAACCACTGGGCCAGTTTTAACCAAACTTGACACAGAGTATGCTTGGCTAAAAGGCTTTTAAATCATATTTAAAATACAAAAGCACCCTCAGCTGAGTAAATTTGAATTAGCTCATATGAGCTGAAGTGTGTCCAAAGGCTGACCAAATTTGTCTATTTTGTCTAATGTCCTTGTCACCAAAATAATTTTTTCACATTTTCATCTTTTCTGGAACACTCAACCAATTTCAATTTAACTTGGCCCAGAATATCCTTGGATAGAGGGGAATGAATTTTCAATTGAAGGGATATAGCCTCTTCCAAGATGAGCTAGTAACAATTGGGTGGGATCATCTAAAAATCTAAAGAACCACTGGGCCAGGAAAAAAAATGAAACTTCTGTGAAAGCTTCCTGTAATTGGATAGAAATAAAATTTTGTTCAAATCTTTAATCATGCTGATAAAGAACAGATTTTAATGCTTACTGACTCATGTGAATGGTGTAGTTATTGGGTTTCTTGTTTTTGTGTCTGTTAACCTCTATATTTAAGTTATTGGCTATCTAAAAAAAATTCTAGGTCATTTTAAGTATGAAATAATTAGGGTTGAGTGTATTGGTATAAAATTCTATTTTATCAACCAATGTTTCATCTCTTAATACTGTACTTCTAACCATTTTAACCTTTTTTTCTTAAATTAGCTATGCCAGAAATGTCCTATGTGAGTCAAGGAAAGTTACACTTTCTAACAAGACATGTTGATAAACGCAATTGGGAGAAACCTTTCCAATTCCTGCTGAATACAACAATTCAAGTTGGAAATGTAAAGATAATAATTTTTTAAAATTTTAGAATAATTGTTGTTTTTAAAGATTCGTTACTATGATAAGTATTTATACTAGTAGAATATGTTTGATGGAACAAAAGGTCAAGTGAATGACAAAACATACAGTATTTTTATTTATCAAAATACATACATGCATGTAATCCATGTGATTTTTAAAACTATGTAAAAATTGAATTATATATACCCCAAAACATGCTACGACACCACTTGCTTGGTGCATTTTGTTTCGCTTCTTGCACAGTTCATTTCATTTTGTAAATGATTCATTTTATTTGTGAATGGTAAGGTTCACCCTGTGAACTTTTTTTTGGTTTTGTGTATGTTTTAGATTTGTTTTTGAACATTGTAGTTCACTTCTTGCTTGAATTGATTTGTTTCTTTCTGAGGTGTAGTAGCATGTTTTAGGACTTGTCTATTGACTGATCCATAAATACCTAGTGCCGTACATGTACTGTAAATCACTTGTTATTAGCAAAAACTTTACTTTCATGTAATTATGCAGAAGACAGTGTGCTTACCAAAATGTCACTCTTATATATTAATTAGTATTTCTAAAGATTATATAGAGCAACATGTAACCCCAATTCGTGAAAAAATGTCCTAGTTGATAAATATAAATGACTCTCTCATGAAAGCAAGGTTTTAAGAATATTAAGTAATTTATTGTAACATTACACTGGAACTATAAGTGAAAAGTGTTTCCTTTATTAACATTTAAAAAGGGGGTTTCCAGGTAAGAAATTGTTTGTGCTCCCCAATATTTTTTTTCTATGACATAATAAATATTACATTTTTTCATTTAGCTGAAGAAAACAGAGAGAAATATCAATGTAACTTTGTCAAAAGAACAGATTCATGGAAATCTGACTTGTATGGAAAACCAACCCCCAGAAGGTAGTTACATGTATTTGCAATATTCATTTTTCTTTTAAAATTGTATGTTTGACTTGTAATCTTAAAAACAGCATATTATAACAGCCCCTCCACTTTTAGTATATTTCACAGATTAGCTTGCAGATATTTTTTGTTTTATTATTTTAAAAAGAAATTAATTCTGAATACTTTTCCACATATTTGGTACTTTGGATATTTCTTTCAAATTTAATTGACAACATTATTAATTTGGTATTGTAGGATCACATGCGCTGGCTATCTGCTTTCGAAACATTGTGGAAATTATGACAAAATTGCCAGAAGATGATGTTGAAAGAATTGCAGAGTTTTACTTTGAACAGCTTGACACAAAGTAAGTTTTAGCTATAAAACATGCATACAGTTTTGAAGAGTACATAATTTCTATATTTTAATATTAATCAATGTATTTTTAGCTTACCCCAGAACAGAAGAGCAAAGGAGAATATGGTTGATGTTTTGGGGGCCATGAATACAGAACTATCAGATAAGCTCCTGGCAGAAAAAATATTCTTAAACCCTAACCCAGATCCTGAGATGATTAAAAGAATTCTGACACATGTGGCAACAAAATTTAGGTCTCCTCACAGGGTAAAACTGTTTATTGACTAAATCGTAAAATGAATGATAAATATAGACTTGACTAATTTTAATTTGTTTAAGCCCCCCAGAATTATCCTATACCTTGTTTTATGACTATATTTATTTGTATGAATTTCTCCGACATTTATATGTTTCAAACAGGTCCTTCTGCAAGCTTTAGAAGATGCTGTCTTTCACAAAGAAAAGTTTCCTGAAGAATTTTATGCAAAGGACACCCATAGCCGATGTATGTTGGCTTTAGGTGCAGTGAGTCACAAATTGTCCAAAGAGGGAAATTCTAATCGAGCAAGAAGAACAGTAAATTGGGTGCATTCTGTACTGGGCATGCATGGTAATCATTATGATACATCTGCTACAAAGTTGTAGAAGGGATATATTGGAATCATCATAGATATGAACTGCCTAATCTCCCAGTTTACTCATTATTTACTTCTTAGACTTTTTACACCCTAAATAATTCTATATTATCTATGTGCTAAATCTCCTGATTTTTAACCATTTTCAATAAAATAAATTATTATTTGTAGCTAGAATGCTGGAAAAAAAACTGGTTCAGCTTGATAAATAACTAGTATCATGCAATTTTCAGGGCATTTTAAGAAAAATAACAATGCGCAAATGGTCACACATTAACTTTTAACAGTTGAGGTTAACTCTCAGGATGGTTATGGAAATATTTTTCACCATGCATGTACTTTTTGTGGGATTGTCCATATATATAGTGTCATAATAAGCTTTTGATGAGTATCATATCAAGGCATTACTTCCACAAGAATAGTGATAAATACTGTTGTTTGGTGTATTTGAATGCTATGAAATTTTCTGCATTTATCAAAAGAAGACAATATTAAGCACAAAGTTCAAATAATATGGAGAGATTGGTTGAAAACTATTGGTAACAATTATTTAGGGTATAGGCAGGTCTGATAGACTATCGAAACCAAACACCAATATTTGGTGCATAAGTAAATACATGAAGAACTTGAGTGTACATGTAGGTAAGAAGGGGGGGGGGGGGAGGGGCTTAGCTCATGAATACAACTTAAGTTTTTAGAAAATAATTAGAGATAGATAAACAAAATTGATTAATCAATCCATCAAGTTTGTATCAAGTATTTGAAATTGTTGTATCCATCAATAAAACAAACTTTGTTGACTTGTGTTCTGTAATAATTTGATTTTGACATATATAGATCCATATGAGTACAGAAAAAGGAGAGCAGTGATGACAGAGGAAGAAAAGGAATCTTATGACCATCACAAAGTGATTCTTCTGGAGACACTGGGAAATGCTAGAATGGATGAGTCCTATGATTACATTATCTCTCACATCAACAGTACAAACTCACAGTGGATCAAAAGGGCTGGATGTCATGCACTCAGGAAATATGAACATCAACATGTAATTCTCAATAGTCATAGTCTTCACTTGATCAGATTGAGCTTAAAGTTAATATTCTTTTATCAGTAAATACAGAATGATTACTTCCTAATTTGTATGCTAAGCCACAGATTATGTTTGTATGAAAAAGATGTATCTTATATTTTTAGGCAGCTGATACTCTTCTGTATTCTGCATTGTTTGATGAGGACCAGTCTGTACGCTATGAAGCTGCCCTTTTGTACATGGGGCATCCAAAAGGCAAAATGATTGCTCCAATGAATAGGTGAAGTTCTAATCTGTTAACAGTGTTTTTTTATTCTTAAACAGCACAGATTATTTATGTGCTTGATTAAGATGTGTGTAATGGGTCATTGTTTATATACAGTTGGCATCTACCTTTCTAATGTTGAGTAAAAAATAAATAAATTTTGATTTGAGGGTTCTAATCAATAGATTTATGTTCCAATATCTGTTTGAAAATAAAATAATCGTGGATAACTACAATTACTGATATTTTAAAATAATTGTTAAGAATTTCGTATATGCTTTTTTTTTTTGCTATAATGTCTTTTATTTTCAATCTAGTACTGATTCTTTACCATTCATTTATAATTTGTTGAAAAGAATACCACTAATTTTTAAGAAAATTGCCCTTGTTTTGAAATTTGGCAATTTTTGTTTTTGGCCATTTTTGATGACCATTATATAATTTTTTATCAGAAATCCATCTGCTCTTTTGTCTAAAAACAGGCATTGTGAAATGTCATATATTTCAGTGAATGTTTCTTTGGGATTTTTAACAAGTTGTTATAAATTCATTTAAAAGATTCAATAATGAAGAAAAGTGGTCACATAAACTGTTATAAATTCATAAAAGTCAATAATTCAAGTGTCATATGATATATATATAGATCAGGACATTATTTATTGAACAGCCCTCGTATATATTCCAAAGTCTTGCCTAATATGATCTAAACTTGTAGTCCCTTTCAGTAAATTTGATTGTTTTACTCTGGAATGTTGTCTTGTCAGGTCATTTTGTTGTTGTTGAAAATACTGGTTTTCAGATCTGAAAAGATTTACTGTATAATAATTTGACAATAACCATAATTAAAAATAATGTTTTCTAATATTGTTGCACATAGTGAACCGACAGGAAATAATGGTACGTCAATGATAGATCCATATGATGCAGGCATTGATGTGATGGACCTTGCACAAAACCATCATAGGTCTAGAAGGAGCATCTGGGATGGACTTAAATTTAGATTGGAAGCACCAAGTGTGGACTGGCAGAAGTTAATAGGATCTAAAAGCATTGGGGCATCATTTGGTGTGATCATGATAAATCTTCTTGACTTGGTTGTTGGTAAATGTTTCTATGATTTGATTTTTTTCAAAAATGATATCAAATTGAACATCTTGTAATAAAATGTATAACAAATTACAAAAATGTTGTACATTTTTGTCTTGCTTATGAATATCAAATAATCATCTTGCATAAATACCATTATAAAGCACCTTGATAACCCACCAATTATTTAAGGATTGATTGATTGACTGATTGTATGTTGTTGTTTGTCCCATTCAAGAATATTTCACTCATATAGAGATGTTAATGACCACATAGTGGTGAAGTGCTTAAAATGTTGACCTTTACTCGGCACTTATGGTCATTTAGTAGTGCGAGATCTTAATTATTTAAGGAATGGTTTTCAGTGTTGTGACTGTTATTGGTTTTTGAATCACAGACTTGTCACATAGGCATATTTTATGAGGCACAGTAGTCCTACGTGAAAAATATGATACAGGCATGTCCCTATAATTTAAACACCAAAAATAATCGTAAATTTGCACAAGTATCATTTGTGTCAGGTCTGCTAATAATGAATATAGATGTCAGACTGAATGTTATTCCATCAGTTGTAGTATAATTTTTCTGAAACATTTGAGTTTTTTTTTTAATTTTGATAGCACCAACACATGGCCATGTAAAAATTAAAGTTCACGATGAGGCTTACGCAAGAATTCATCTTGGCTTCATTGGAAAAAACTATGAGTTTTTCCAAGCTAGAGTTTGCTTTAAAGGAGGAGCTGAATACAGCATAAACATTCTTCAGGTATAAAGTAATTTAATTTCAGTAATTTAATTTCCCAAAATTGGACTCGTATGCCAGTAAATACAAAATACATAAAGGAAATCATTGTCTTTGACATAGATAAGATATATCAATAAAAAAATCATTTCATATTCAATCTTTAGGTCCAGGAGAATATTTTTTCTGATCAGGTGAACATTATAACCAGTGTTCCTTTTGTTTTATGGTTGATCTACACACTCAAATTTTCATTAAACAACATCATTTTTGTGTTTTTGTAGGGAAATGACATGAAGAAAATTATAAAGTTGGCAGCCAATTTTTCCAAGAAGTTGAAGGAGATTGTTGATGGAATCAAGGAGGGTGTTCAACTCTTCAAAGACATCATATCTGGAAGATTGAACATAAAGGATATTATTAATGAGCTGATTCAGGCCATCACTAGTTTACCTCAAAAGGTTATAATCTAAGTTAAATATCTGTGATTTTTTCTTTGCAGGCTTATATCTTGAATTAATACTTCATTCCTTTAAGATTTCTTTTTTTTTAATCTCATATTTGTTATAACCCCAGCTTGAAAAGTGGGATGGCATGTAGTGATGGGGATGTCTGTCTTTTGTCTGTTACACTTTGGGGTACCCAGCTACCCATCTCTTATCTGTAACTCCTCTTATACCACTGAATGAGATTTATTAATACTTTCACAGAATTTTTGTTAAATAGTGCAATTGTACATCTTCTTCTTCTTCTTTTTTTTTTTTTTTTTTACACATTTCATGGATGAAGAATTATTCAGAAGTAATATCTGTGAAAAATTACATTTCCTGGTGGACATAAATATGTGTGTCCCCTTGAAAATTAAGAATTTTTATATGTTCAGTAGACAGAAATATTCAAAATAATGTGCATGTGTGGAAGATTTAAGCTATAGTTCATTTGACATTTCATAGACAGAAATATTCAAAATAATGTGCATGTATGGTAGATTTAAGTTTGATAAAATGTATTCAGTTTAATTTAATCTTTAGTGTATATCTATATACATATACTTCTAGATTTTAAAACTGAGGGATATTGCATCTTCAGCCATGAGAAAGATAGGAAGTTTTGATCCGGCAGACTTACCTGTGGAGTTTCAACCAGCCATAAACTTTGTCCACAAAGTGACCAAGTTATTTAATGACATCAAGACAGATGTAATGGGGTTTGTGCATGTATGTATGATGGCGAGTTATGACCATTTTACATCTTTTTATGTTAGACTTGAATTTAGATTATAGATTTTTTGATAGAGGTTTCATATTTATTTTATGCTTTCATTTTATAGGAAATTGAACAAGCAATAAAAGTTGTTATTCCACTACAAGGAAAAGAAATTTTTGATGCAGTTAAAGATATAATTGATGCCTTTAAAAACATTCTTAAAAATCCCAAAGAGGCATTGATGAAAATAGGAGGGAGCATATTTAAGTGAGTTCTATCATTCATTCTCATTATTATAGTTCATTGTAGGTCAAAATAGGATTATCCTGATATATATACTGTAAAATTTTCAGCACTGAAAGGCCATATTTCCCTTAAATATCATTGAAATGAACAAAATCTAAACTTGATCTGTAACTCATCAACATTTATGCACAGAAAAAAAGCTCAATATTTGCAAGCATTTAGAAAAAAAAATGTGACAGACAGACAGATGGACAGACAGCTAAACAGATGGACAGACGGACACAAAATTTTTGGAGCAGGTCTCATTCCCAAGTACTGTAACTACGTATAAGCCCAATTTTGACCAATCTTGCATGGATGATCCATCTAAGGGTGCCCCACATTATTAGGCTTGCTATGGGTTTGGATTTGAGCTACATTTTTCGTATGAGTGACCAGGCTAAAGTTTTTGGTGCAGGTCCATTAACATGAAACTGTAAGGCTTATCTGAACAAAGCATGTATGGATGGTGCATCAAGGGATGAACACTCTCAAACTTGCTTCAGATGTTGGATTGAATTACTTTTTTTGGATGCGTGATTAGTTTGAATTTTTGGATGAGTCCATTCCCAAGTAACTGCAAAGCTGCAACTGATCAAAATTGTATGAATGCTGCATTTTTTACACTACTATATTATTAGTTTAATGTAGGACTTTGTCTTTCTTAAAGGAAACATTGGTTGGATTGAGCTCCTGATCTTTATAATCTCTGATTATCTATGTTCAAGAATTAAAAATATATTACACCACATTTATTTACAGTACTCGTTTTAAATGCATTTGATTAATATCATAATTTCGTTATTTTATAGGATTTTTCAAGCTGTAAAAACTGTTCTAGATCAGAAAGACAGGATTCAAGATGCTTGTTTCTTTCTGAGAGGTAAGTGGAAATGGTCCAAAGTCCTTGTTAGCTCACCAGGGCTAAAGCTCATATGACCTTTCCTTGTGACTATTTGTAAAGCATCTATCAATATCTACTTTAATTACCAAAAAAGTATCCTTAGATAAAGGGAATTCTGATTTATTCATATGAATGGCCCCATGTCTCTTAAGGGAAGATAACTAAGAAATGATTAAATTGGACAACATCATAGAAAAATCTATCCTCTTCACAATAGACAATGGTCATGAAGTTTTAGAGACAAAACTTCTGTGATTACTATTTATAAAAGTACTACTTTATTTGGTAATGACCAATACTTTCTCCCCAAATCAAACTTTGATGGAAAAATATTTAGGGCCCCGCTAGGATTTGCTGGTGCCCTATAGGAATCACTATGTCCAGCTGTCCATCCGTGGTCCGTCATTCTTCTGTCCACAAATTTTCTGTTTTCTCCTAATAACTTGTTTTTATGGTTGCCCAATTAAGTTCAAAATTGGTTTGGTAGTTCAGTAGGCAGAAATAGGTATATGTTTTGATGCTAAGTTTGTTTCTCTCTAACCTCTGGTTTGGAGCTGGGGTATATTCCTTTACTTTATATGAAAATGAATTGGCAGAGAGAGATAATTGCTGAAAATGTTCCCATTATAAACTGAATACTGCAATGAGTCTCTTGGGATTAATTAGCTTTCCTCTGAAGAAAATCCAAAGCATTATCTTTATCTGTCACATTGAGATGAATTACCTCTGTCTGCAAATGAAATTTGTTTTGAAGTTAAGGTAAGTCACTCCTCAAATTTCTTATATCAAGGATTTTTTGAGAAGTATATTTTGGATAAGTAATCATAAAGTGTGACTCAAAATCGCAGAGAAAATAGGGGGTCAGTGTGCATCGTACTGATGTATGGTACATTTAAGTTGACCTATTTGCACTTAAATTTTAACCCCTTAGTTTGTTACTTTTATACAATTATCTCTTATTATATTTTTTCAGCTGTAACCATGGCGACAAATTTATTCTTACTTTACATAAAATAGTTTGAATAATATTTATCATTGATCAAATCTTGCAAATTAATGCGCGTAAATAATTATGTGACCTTTTTGCACTAAAATATAACATTATAATTTGGGTCCCATGGCAGGGCCCTAAATGAGGCAATGTAATATTTGATTCTTATATCAGGCTTTGTATGGCTTAAGTTTTCTAGATAAATAAAACATAATATATGCTGAAGTTTAAAATAATGAAAGAAAAAGTTGGGGTCAATGACGTTAATTTTGAAATGAAGTCAGGAAATATGTCGAAATTTCAAAAAAATGGTGTTAATTTATCTTGACTTCTTTGATATATCTCTGTTTTTGGCAAAGGTTGTTGAATTTTATCGCCATTTTAAAGTTATTCTAAAATTTTAAATTAAGACCTATATCAAATAAACCTAAATATCATAACTAAAATATTTTTCTATATAAAATATGTGAGTAAAGACTTTCAAACGTTCAAATTTAATAAATGTGCAGATTAGCAGAAATTTTTGCTAAATATCCTTTCTCACCATAAAAAATAGTCCCTAATAAAGACTTGCTTCTTTGAACATTTTTTACAGGATATTCAGTTTTTTCTTTGATTGATAAAAAATATACATTGTTGAAAATAATTATTTTATTATTTAATTGAATTTTAATAAATTTTTTCATGAATTAAATGATTCTGCTGTTCCTTTTGTTTTAAGAACTTTACTCTGTAAAGCTGAGCCGAGTGACTTACCTTAAGTCAATTTGATTTCTATTTTAATGTGTGTAGAATTATAACATCAATGAAATATATAAATATTGTTCCTGAGCAGACCTGTGCTCTATAAATTATATAGCTGGAATTTTTAAAATTTTGTCCATTTTTTGTTATTTCTGAAAAATGATACAAAATCCGACTAGTTTGTGACTTCATAAAAACAATTGTCAATAAGTTACTTTGAAACTATGGTATGTTTTGATAATTTATTTTTCATATACAATATATGCAATTCAGCACATTTCAAGAAATTTTCAAAATTTGACTTGTGTGGGGAAAAGAGTTGTTTATACTTCATATATTTTTGAATCATTCTGTAAGTCAAATTTGTAATTCTATTCCATGTGAAGGTGGGCCACAACAGGTCAGTTTTCTAGTTTTAAAACAGAAGATATATGCTGTTAAAACACTTTTTTTTTCGAAGAATATTTTCATATAATGATGTGCAAAACAGTGTTTGAAAAATATTATCATGAAAATGTTTGCATATAAAATTTCCATGATTATATATTTCAATGTGTGTGAAAATTATGTTTTGCTAATAAAGAATTATTGATATTCTCATGAAAATAAGGTGTTGTGAAAAGACCTGTGCTCTATCAATTATATAGCTGAAATTGTTAAAATTTTGTCCATTTATTGTTATTTCTGAAAAATGATACAAAATCCAACTAGTTTGTGACTTCATAAAAACAAAAATTGTCATATAAAACTACTTTGAAATTTTGGTATGTTTTGTGAAAAATTTTTATGTCACCTGATGTAAGAGACTATATTACAAAACCACTAAAATTAATGCAATCTTTGCAAAAATTGAGTCGGGTACAAAGTCTGTCACATCAGATGTCACACTGTTTGATAACTTGTAATCTTACTGAGATTTGAATTCTATGTATTTCAAATTTGTAACAGTTGAATTATGGCCAAAGGTGTGATTTTTAGGGGTTCTAGTGCTAGGGCGGGGATATAGACCAATGCGACATGCTTAAGGGAATATTGAAATTTACTGGAAAATTTGTCTTATCCTTGGAAAAATTCCTAAAAAAGAATAATAAAAGAAATTGTCCATAGTGAAAATGCTTTATTTCTTTTGAAAATCTTCTTCTGCTTTGTGATAGGCGAATAACCAACTAAGTACATGCTATGATGAGCCGTGTGCCTCTACCATAATTGTGAATTTTATGCTTTGCTACCCACCACTCAATTTCTTGCAATGCTTGAATTGGTTATAAAGTGAAAATACAATATTCTCTTAAAATCTGCTATATTACGCGTATTCTGGGGATTTAAACTAACTAAGTACAAAAATTGTAATATAAGTTTTATATTACGAAAATTATGTAATATTACGCTTTCCCCAATCTTAGGTTTCTTAGTTTTAGGGTGAGGCCTATTTGATTATATAGTGAAATGCATCGTCCGTTCTTTGAACATCTGTATCCTTTGCTCCTGGTTAATATGCAATTTTTACATACTCCTCCTACAGTTTTGGATTTCTTAATATAACTTAGCACACAAGTAGACCACTAAGATACAAGGTTTTTTGATTTTCGATGAACGGTGTTGCCATGGTTACTAAAAATAGAAATTTCTGTGAAATTCTTTCAAAATGCTACTCCTCCTACAGTTTTGGTCAGATTTCAATATAACTTGGCACACAAGTAGACTACACTATGATACATAGAATAGTGCATCGGATTTTGATTTCGATGAACGGTGTTGCCATGGTTACTAAAAATAGAATTTTCTATAAAATTCCTTTAAAATGCTATCCTGCTACAAATTTGGTCTGATTTCAATATAACTTGGCACACAAGTAGACTACACTAAGACACATAGAATAGTGCATCGGATTTTGTTCGATGAACGGTGTTGCCATGGTTACTAAAAATTAATTTTCTATAAAATTCCTTTAAAATGCTACTCCTGCTACAAATTTGGTCTAATTTCAATATAACTTGGCACACAAGTAGACTACACTAAGATACATAGAATAGTGCATCGGATTTTGATTTCGATGAACGGTGTTGCCATGGTTACTAAAAATAGAATTTTCTATAAAATTCCTTTAAAATGCTACTCCTGCTACAAATTTGGTCTGATTTCAATATAACTTGGCACACAAGTAGACTACACTAAGATACATAGAATATATCGGATTTTGATTTCGATGAACGGTGTTGCCATGGTTACTAAAAATAGAATTTTCTATAAAATTCCTTTAAAATGCTACTCCTGCTACAAATTTGGTCTGATTTCAATATAACTTGGCACACAAGTAGACTACACTAAGATACATAGAATAGTGCATCAGATTATGATTTCGATGAACGGTGTTGCCATGGTTACTAAAAATAGAATTTTCTATAAAATTCCTTTAAAATGCTACTCCTGCTACAAATTTGGTCTAATTTCAATATAACTTGGCACACAAGTAGACTACACTAAGATACATAGAATAGTGCATCGGATTTTGATTTCGATGAACGGTGTTGCCATGGTTACTAAAAATAGAATTTTCTATAAAATTCCTTTAAAATGCTACTCCTGCTACAAATTTGGTCTGATTTCAATATAACTTGGCACACAAGTAGACTACACTAAGATACATAGAATAAGCATCGGATTTTGATTTCGATGAATGTTGCCATGGTTACTAAAAAAAGAATTTTCTATAAAATTCCTTTAAAATGCTACTCCTGCTACAAATTTGGTCTGATTTCAATATAACTTGGCACACAAGTAGACTACACTAAGAAATAAATAGTGCATCAGATTATGATTTCGATGAACGGTGTTGCCATGGTTACTAAAAATAGAATTTTCTATAAAATTCCTTTAAAATGCTACTCCTGCTACAAATTTGGTCTGATTTCAATATTACTTGGCACACAAGTAGACTACACTAAGATACATAAAAGAGTGCATCGGATTATGATTTCGATTTACGGTGTTGTCATGGTTATTTAAAATTTTTGAATTTTCATAAAATTCCTTTAAAATGCTACTCAAATCCCACAAATTTGGTCTGATTTCAAATTACTTGGCACACAAGTAGACTACACTAAGATACATAAAATAGTGCATCGGATTTTCATTTACAATGAATGGTGTTGCCATGGTTACTAAAAATAGAATTTTATGTGAAATTCCTTTAAAACGCTACTCCTCCTACAATTTTGGTCTGATTTCAATATACTTGGCACACAAGTTCTACACTAAGATACATAAAATAGTGCATCGGTTTTTGATTTTGATGAACAGTGTTGCCATGGTTACTAAAAATAGAATTTTTGTGAAATTCCTTTAATCACTTTTACAATTTTGGTCTGATTTCAAAATAACTTGGCACACAAGTAGACTACACTAAGATACATAAAATAGTGCATAGGTTTTTTATTTCGATGAACAATGTTGCCATGGTTACTAATGATTATATAGAATTTTCTGTGAAATTCCTTTAAAATGTTACTAAAACAGTTTTGGTCTGATGGCAATGGCTTCTTCTCTCATCCTTTGTTATAAGTACAAACCAGTAGAGCTACAGTCTCGACAGAGACTTCTGGTTTCGTAATATTACGAATTTTCGTATTGGACTGGACTGATGCATTAGCACTTAGATTTTGTTTAAAACAGCCCTGACCATCTAATATTGTGTTTTAGATGACAAGCCATACTGGTTTGATGTAGCAGCTTTAGTATCAGAGTACAGTGACATGGCAGCCAAGGCATTTAAAGCTTTAGAGTCGGCAGGTACAAAATGGGTCGCCGAGAAAGTTGACGAAGCAGAGGATGCAGTTATAAAGTTCTCTAAAGGAAAGTTCTCCATGGTAAAAATATTTGAACTTTCAGTTCTTGATTAATAAATGTGAAGCAATACTTAATTAAATATATCTGTCCATGATTTATCTTTCACTATGATGTCTGACTAATATTATAGAATATATCAGCAATGTGGAAGATGATTCATTCAGAGCATGGTTTTCTTTTGAATTATAAGCAGGACCTTTTTTCATTTCATCTTCTTCAAAATCTTTTGAAAGAAATACAGTCCCTCTTTCACTTTTGTGTATTGTAATTTTGTGTTGAAATTACTCTGCATCAGCATCAGCATGTTGTGTTAATATTCATATTTTCAGCAATCTATGAAACAAGAAGTAGTAAACTTATTGAAAACAATTAAGGAAGAATTGATGGACCCATTTAAAGGTTTAATTGGAATGGCTGATACATTTATTAACAAGTACGGAAAGGTGTTCAACATTATCAAGTCGGTAAAGGATGCATATGATATTCTGAAGGAAGGGTAAGTGTGTTATAATTGAGTTTGATCATGTACTTAGTTTTACAAAGGAAGCAATAGATTTATTTCTACTTAATACATGTACAAGTATAGCATTTATTGTATGTATTTAATCATTCATGTAGATGGAAAATCACTACTGTTTTTTACCTTGGTCTCAAACTTTTACTCAAGAATTGATATAACTTCCTTAAAAAAGCCTATAAAAATTTGTTATTGATTTATAAGCAATACCCAACTCATACGATTAGCAATTTTAACAGTAAATTTGACAAAACTCAGTTGAACTTAGTTATTCTGAAAATGGATATATGAAATACCATGGATATGTAGTTAATTCTCTTTATGAGTCTTAGAGTCTTTCTTTATGGATTTGAACTTCAATATCTGGAATCTTTTTATATATTTTTTTCTATGCTCCACCAAAATCAGTAACAAGGTTTGACTGTACCTGCTTATTGGAGATAAGAAAATATTAAACTTAATAATTTGGTTTTAAGAGTGTAATAATTATTGAAGTCTTGTCTCTAGATATGAAACAGCCAGAGGAATAATAGACTCCCTGTTTGGAACGAGAACTCATGGGAGTTTCCCCATAGTTCGCAGAGAAAAAGATGACCAGTGTAGTGGCAGTGGAGAATATCCTTCAAGTCTTGGAAGTGGCCATACGAATTACAAGCATGAAGGAGTGGACATTGTTATAGATAGTGGGAAAACAGTATGTCTGACTTGTTTCATTTTTTTTTTTTTTTGCTGCAATTTTTTTGCCAATCAAGAGCATTTCGTTTGATAGTTAAAAACTGTTTTAAGCTCACCTGAGCCCAACACTCAAGTGAGGAATTCATCATAAATGAGCTCTTTCTCAGATTGTCTGTTTAACTATATGTTTAAAGAAATATTCAGATGGCAATTTCTCTGCTCTCTTGGCAATAGTTTTACAATGAAGATTTGAAAAATGTATCAAAGAAAAGACTTTGGCCAGCTAAACTTGATGCTAAAACAGTAATCATTTAGTTACACCCTAACTTTATTTGACAACAGACAATGCCTTTTAATCATTTAGTAGCAGCGTAACTGTATTGGACAACAGGCAGTCTTTAAATTTCCTCTCCACAGTAAACAGAGAAAAGCAGATTTTATTAGGTCACCTGAGTAACTCAGGTGACCTATATCCCAACTCATACAATTAGCAATTTTAACATTTAAACATTTTCACAAAACTGAACAATTTCAACTTTGTATACTGAATGAAATGAGCATATATACCAAAATTGTGAAATTCATGGATAGGGGTTCCAGTGCTAGGGCGGGGCTATATAGATTTTATAGTGAAAATGCATTAATGCATTATTTCTTTGAAAATCTTCTTCTCTGGGGTATTTGAACTTAAGTACAATATGATAAGGAGTGCCTCTTCCATATATTTTGAATTTTATGGCCCCAGGGTCAGAGGTTCTAGTGTTACCATTGAATATTGTAAAATGCATTTATTCTTTGAAAGTCTGTTCTCTGCTTCTGAGATTAAAAAACTATTAAACATAGTTTGGTTTTAAGAGTGTCTTCCAAAATTAAATTTTAAGGGTCCTTGTTAGGGTGGGGCTTTATTGATTATATTGTGAAAATGCATTTATTCTTTGAAAATCTTCTTCTCTGCTTCTGAGTACTAAATAAACTAACTAAGCACATCGTTATGATGGACAAGAACTCAAAATTGTGAATTTTATGGCCCTGTAGGGGTTCTGGTGTTAGGGCAGAAATATAGAAAAATACATTAAGACCAGTCTACACTGGCAGTGGTATTTTTCTGAATATCTGCCCTTCAAGTTTAAGAAATAAAAATTTTCACAATATTACAATTTGTAATGAAGGAATGGAACATTTTTAAAGGCCAAGAAAACAACTATGTTTATGACTTGTATTTTCTTTTTATTAACAGCAATTTTTTTCCAGATCTACAGTGTTTCCTTTGATTTTTCAGTTAAATGAAAACCCTGAAAATTTTAAGCTCAATATTAACTCCATTATTAAATAATTTTATTTCAAAGTCCAAAAAAAATTTTGCACTTTTGTAGAGAGGGTCCTTAATTCTTTGAAAATATTTTCCTTTGCTTCTGGGTTTTATGCCGTGTATATATAGTTTTTTGAAATATTTCAGCATGTTTTTTTTTCTGGGCTCTCTTGAAAATAAATTTTAAAAAAATGCAAATATATTTTTGATAAAAACCATTTTATGTAAAATTTGCACAATTTTGAAAATGACTTTGGGTCAGTGGTTCCTTTGGGGTAAGGTGCACAATTGGGTATAAAGTGGAAGTGCATTTTTCTTTGCTACTCTGATCTACCTCTGGGTATTAAGTAAGTAGAATAAGCATGCTAAGTTAATAATTATGATAAGCAATGATGCCTCTTTCAAAATTGTGAATTGTGACTTTCATGGCTTCTGGTTTAAAACACGAACCAAATTTAATTGTTTAAAAGTTGATACACAATACTCAGGTGACCTATAAGGCCTGTGGGCCTTTTGTTATAATATATGTAGGTAATGCTTACACTTACCAATAACTCAGTTATGTTGCATGTGAAATGTACGTATGATAATATATAAGATGCATTTCAATTTGTTTTAATGATCTTTAAATGACCATATGATGAATTAAGTATGAAATATGTCACATCACAGATAGTTGCCCCTTTTGCTGGAGAGGTCACAAGAGAAGATGGAGACACAGTGAAGCTAGTGGTACAGGGAGGCTCACTGAAGGAGGCCATCATATATATCACCAATATTGAAGCCAAATCAAGTATAGAGGAAGACGAGCCTAGATCTGTAAGTATCACCAATAACAAAGCAAAATCAAAACTGTAATATTTTAGTTTTCATTTTAAATTTAATTATATCAGTAATATTACACTTCTGTAAAAAGACATGTGGACTCATAGAATTTTTTACCATGAAATTCATTCTATAATTTTATACCCCCCACTTGAAAAGTGGGAGGGTATATAAATTTGACATACTTTTAAACTTTTAGCTGTACAGCTGTCTGCTCTTCCATCTGTTACACTTTGGGGTACCCATCTCTTATCTGCAACTTAATCCTCTCTGCCACTGAATGAAATTGGATGAGACTTTCACAGAATCTTTGTTACATATTGCCATTGTGACCTCCTATTTTACTTTTTGATCTGAAACATATATTTTGGATTTCCCATAGCAAAACATGGACATTGCCAATATATTCATATGGGAGGTGGGGGTATCATTTAGTGAGCTCATTGCTCTTAGTACCTCTAGTTTAGTTGGTCTCCTGGGTCATTCAAGTGAATTATTACCAAAGGTTTTCTTATGTAGATACTTATAGTGGATTATAATAACCATTGAACAAAATGAGCTTCTATTAAGAATTTTAACCAGTTTTAAGCTCACCTGAGCTGAAAGCTCAAATGAACTTTTCTGTTCACCCATTGTCCAATGTCCGTCCATCTGTAAACTTTTCACATTTTCAACTTCTATGCAAGAATCATTGGGCCAATTTTAACCAAAGTTGGTACAAAGCATTCTTGGGTGAAGGGGAATTTAAATTGTTTAAAAAGGGCCAAGTTTCCTTCCAAGGGAAGATCATCAAGAAAATATAAAAGTAGGGTGGGGTCATTAAAAAATCTTCTTAAGAATCACTGGGCCAGAAAAGCCAAAACTTGTGTGAAAGCATCCTGGGATGGTGTAGATTCTAAATTCTTAAAATTATGACCCCTGGTTGTAAGGCGGGACCACAAAAGGGAATCCAATTTTACATAGAAATAAATAGAAAAAACTTTAAAAATCTTCTTCTCAGGAACCACTTGGCCAGAAAAGCTGTAACTTATGTGGAAGCATCCTTGGTTAGTGTAGATTCTAAATTGTTTAAATCATGACCACTGAAGGTAGGACGGGGCCACAATAGGGAATCCAAGTTTAAATTGAAGTATATAGGAAGAAAACTTTAAAAAAATCTTCTACCAAAATTATTTTTTCTTGTTTGTGCATTATGAATTGAAGCCTGGTGGGACTGGATTGGAGTACGTGTGAATATGCATTAAATCATACTGTTAACCACTGGACATTTAGCAGACAAATCTTGTACAGTAAAACTTGGTTATAACAAAGTTACTGGGCCCTATGAAATTACTTCACTATTTCCATAATTTGTTATATTCGTTTAAAGAATTTGTAAAAATTTGGGTAACTGGGGATCCAAAATAACTTTGCTATGACACAGAATGTGTCTTGGATAATAATTTTTGTCATGAAAGTGAGGGGACATTATAACACTTGTCTGTTCTTCTGCTAGTATATCACAAAAACTTGAACCTTGTTCTTAACTTTTGAATGAGAAGAGATAGGACTTTCATTTTTCACATGTGCATTACCTGTGACAAGACCTTTTCAAATATGCTATAATCTTTTACCAAGAGACCTAGACGTTTAAGTATGACATACTTTCAAAAATTTTAACATTAATTTGAATTGGCCATAACTTTGAAATTAAAAGTATATTACCGTTGACGAGATCTTTTTAAATACACTATAATTTTTTTGACACCTTGACCTTAAAATTTGGCCAACTTTTCAAAATCTTTAACCTTGGTCATAACTCCAACATAGAAACATTCTAATTGTAAAAGCACTTCTTAAACAGGTCAGTCGAATTTATTTGGACAATGACAAGAAAATGATTGATTTGTAAACTTAAATTACAGAGAGAGAGAGAATCATAATCAACTTGAGACTTAAAAATTGGTTCTTCATCCTCATCCTTTACACCATTTGGTTTATGAGAAGAGATAAGTTTTCATATTACACAAATGTATTCCCGTGACAAGGTCTTTTTATATACACTACGATTTTCAACCCCATGACCTTGACTTTGATACATGCATTTGGCTTACTTTTCACAAATGTTCTCTTTTCTTAAGTACTTTTGATAGAGAAAAAAGGGTTTCGTATTTGACATGTACATTGTTAGTACCAAAATGTTCTTGAACATGCTATAATATTTTACCCATTGACCTTGACCTTCATGTTTGACCCATGACCTTGACCTTGATACATGCATTTGGCTTACTTTTCACAAATGTTATCTTTTCTTATTACTTTTGATACAGAAAAAAGGGTTTCATATTTGACATGTACATTTTTAGTATAGTACCAAAATGTTCCTGAACATGCTATAATATTTTACCCATTGACCTCGACCTTCATGTTTGACCTAATTTTGTATTTCTTACATATTCTTTGCCTTGTCATATTTGAATTTTGTCAAAGATATGCATTATTGCTGCAGATATTTCTAAAAGTTTAACCAAAGGCCAGACCTGTAAAAATCAAGTCAAAATATTGCATCACCTAACTCAAAATTCTTATTTCAGGTAACACATTTTGGGGGAAACTTTGAAAATTTTGATAGCTTAAAAGAAGGGTTGACTATGGAGACAGATATATTGGATGTGGAGATTAAATAGTTTTATATAGTTTTGGCTAATAAGAACTGGGAACACTAGATGGAATTATGGCTCATGTACCTTATTTTTTTAAAATTTAGTTTGCAGCAGGTCAACCAATTGGAACAGCAAAGCAGTCAGTGTGCAAAAATCACATACATGTAGCTTTCTTCAAAGATGGTGATTATATAGACCCTACAAAATATTTGGAATTTAAACCTGTAACTATGCCGGAATGGAAACAGCAGTGCGATGATTATAGACTTGTGCTGAAGGTAGGTTGTTCTTATTATGGCCCCCTTCGAAGAAGGGAGGACAAATTGCTTTGCTGCTTTTCTCGGATTTTTTTTATAGTTTCCGTTCATTTTCTTCATAACCGTTGCACATACTGAAATGAAATTTGGTATACAGGTATATCAGATGAATATCTAGGTCAAGTTCTGTTTTCTTACCATAATTGACAGAGTTATGCCGCTTAGACTTAGAAAAATTTCAATTATTTGCAGTTTCCGTTCATTTTCTTTGCAACCTTTGCAATTACTGAAATGAAATTTAGTATACATATATATCAGATAAATATCTAGGTTAAGTTCTGTTTTGGGTACGATCACACTATTTCTGGCAGAGTTATGCCCCTTGGTATTAGAAAAATTCCAACTATTTACAGTTTCCGTTCATTTTCTTCACAACTGTTGCACATACTGAAATGAAATTTAGTGTACAGATTTATCAGATGAATATCTAGGTCAAGTTCTGTTTTGGGTACAATTGCACCATTTTTGACAGAGATATGCCCCTTAGACTTAGAAAAATTCCAATTATTTTCAGTTTCCGTTCATTTTCTTCGCAACTGTTGCACATATTGAAATGAAATTTAGTGTACATATTTATCAGATGAATGTCTAGGTCAAGTTTTGTTTTGGGGACAATTGTGCCATTTTTGCCCTTTTGGACTTGTGGTATTAATTTGGGGGGACTAGGTACGCATAAGTGTTTTACACATCTTTCTTATGTTTGTGATAGGATTGTTAATTCTTTCTGTCAGTACATATGATACTTCAAAATACCATGTGTTTCAAAACCATAAAATTTGGTATGCATTTGGGAGCAAATGCAAGATGAATAAATGCAAAGGTACAACTTAGGTTCTGCAAGTAGAGCAGACAGATTATATCTATGAAATTGTATGGAAATACTTTTGATACACAGGGGATTGTCATGGCCTACAGTCTTTTATAGAAAAGTACTCAGTCCAACAGCCAGAAAATAATGATTTTCAAACACAGAAGTTGCTGCAGAAATACCTGACCTACCCTCATCTTTTGATCCTGATTTCACCACAGATATTAAAGGTATATATATATGTATTAATATAGGTTGATATTTAAAATCCATAAGCATAATTTGTTTTAGATAATACAGAGCAGAAGATTGCTTATGTACCAAATTTATATATTTTGTGTATTAGTATTAAAGGTACATTTTATGTAAGAAAATCTCATAAAGGCAAGCTTGTGCTCCATGTTTTTAGAGATGAAATGCATCTCAGATTTGACAAAATTCTGTAAGAGTTGAGGAACTGTAGTAAAATGTTCCTCTTGTGGCCTCTGTATAAGCTTTGAATCAAAATCAATGCTTGTTATAAAACAAACATTTTTCAAGAAATTCGTTATATAATATCACATTTTAACTGTATATTAATTTTACATTAAATAAGTGGCCAAATTGAACCATTACTACTCTGTATACCTTGTAATTTTTTTTAAGGAGGCAACTACTCAATGTGAACACAGTAAAAAGCAAATGTTTTGAAGAATGGTGAAAAAGAGTTGATATCAATTAGGCTTACACAAGCCTCACAACTTTAAATCTAATTTAGATTTTTAATAAATAATCTAATTTTAGATTTAATTTTAAATTAATAGATGATCCAGACAGTGCTTATAATGCCATGCAAGACCAGTCAACGAATACTGATGTTATGGAGATTGATGATCAGGAAGATATGTGCCCAGCTTTGATGGGAACTAATTCTCCAGTTACCACTACCACCACAACAGTGGCTCCTACCAAGACCGGAAAAGGTGTCAAAATTAATTCAAAACAAAGCTGCAAATATTTCTGGAAAATTTAACTTATAGTTGTGAAGTGTTTTATTTTCTGTGATTTTTTTTATAGGATTCTTTTCCAAACTTCTGAAGGCTGCTGACAAATTCCTGCAGAAATTCAACATTCGCCGTCTTAAGTTTGGGACAATCATTGAGTTTCTAGACAAGCTTAAAATGGTCAAAAGTAAAGAAGCAATGGCTAAAGTGATGATAACCATCAAAGTATGTAAATATTTTCCCAAAGTTATGTAGATATTTTGTTTGTTTGCTTGTCCGAACAGTGTGGGTTAAATTTTGATATAATTTTACAATCTGGAGTACATACATGTATTAGAAATTAAATCCTCATAATTTATCTATAAAATATACGGTATTGTAAAACTTTAGAAATTAATGATACTGGAATTAAGACCTCAGGAAAAAAATCATTGATATACATGCATATACCTAAAGTTTTCATTAACTATTAATTTTATCAAGAAAAATATACATAAATTCTTATTTCACCTTTTCTTCAGGAACTCATAGAAAATAAGCCCTGTGTTAGCCCACATGAAATGACTGAGGATCAGCTGATGAATGAGTTGATGGAGAGAGGCAAAGACACGTCAGGCTCCAGGGAGGACATGGTGGCCAGACTTCTGGAGCTCGACCAAAGTAGGTAGCTGGAGTTTATACATTTATTATAGAGTTATATGTGAGACTTGCTTACAATTAGGAGTTATTGTTGTGTGTTCTGCACTGTAGGCTGTCCACTGATGTCCTTCACCATGCCAAAGGATGTCTACTGTACCTTTGACAGTCACTGCTTGGGAGTGGAATGTTGCATCAATGTCAAAATCGCCATGTTCCTGAAAGTCTTCAAGTTCTGGGCCAGATTTGATCCATGTTCAGAACCAATGCAGTTTGTGATGGCGTTCGACAAGTTCAATTACACAATCAAAATTAAAGGCAGTCTGAACTTTGATGGTAAGGACCTAATTTTACTTGTAGGAAAATAGTGCTTTTTATACTTTGAATGTGGATGTAAATATTAATTTTCTCTCCTTCAGGTTTTGAAAATGAATTGAGAACAGGAATCAAGATAAATCTTATGGGTGGCATTGAATTGGTTGTCAAGTAAGTTTCAGTTCACCATGTGAAATTTGAATGATAAACACAAAGGTATCATGCAACTATTTAAAACAAAGTCTTTTATATATAACTTTTCCATTATAGATAACTTTCCCATGTAAACTCAACTTGCATTCATAGTGAGTGAAGACTTATGATGTATATAATTTGGGTTTTACATATTTTGAGATTTTTTTCTTGCATCATTTGTACAGGTACAGTATTACTAAAGGAAAGGAAGCTGCACTGGCAACATTTGGTGTAGGATTCTGTAGTTTTGAAGACATAAATGACTGTGTTCTATTTGTGAATTTACTGGACAATGCAGTTCTGCCCATTCCTACATGTCAAGCAGATGGAACACTTATATGGCCAGAATGTAAGATCTTTATTTTTAGATTACTTTAAAATACTTTTATAAAGATAATTATGCAATTTTGATTTAAATATTACTTCACTGTAAAAGTGAATTCATTATAAACATGTTCACTATAACCATGTTTTACTGTATGGTACAACATCACTCAGGAATATAATTGATATATAGTCTTAATTTCATAGTCTTGTTGTTATTATCTATTGTTTATTTTTGAAATTTCAGTGAATTTTACAAAGCTTTTCGACAAAGAAGCACTGATCAAAAGAATCAAGGAGCAAGGGAAAGCCTTGACAAAATTGGTTGTCTCAGAACTTATGGATGAGTTTTTAAAATTACTTCATATTCCCAAGGTCAGAAACATTCAATAAAATAATACAAAAAAACATGTACAGTAGAACCTCATTATCTGGAACACCTACATTCTGAATACCATTGATATGGTATGTTATTTGGCGGTCTGAACCACTTTTTTATAACCCCGTAAACAAAGTTTCGGGGGTATATAGTTTTTTTCATGTCCATCCATCTGTCTGTCTAGCTGTCTGTCTGTCTCTCTGTCTCTTTTGATTCACTGGAGCTATGACTTTCATATTTCACATGTTTATTCCTTGTGACGAGACCTTTCTTTGGGTACCACCAAATTTGACCTTTTGACCTTGATCTTGGAGTTTGACCCACTTTTACACAAAAATTCCAAAATTTTACTGTGGTCATATCTTTTGAACAGTAGATACCAAGAATTTTTTACTTTATATATGTATTCTTTGTTGAAAGACCTTTCATTGAGTACAAACAACTGTGACCTTTTGACCTTGACCTTGGACATTTTTGTACTTATGAAAAAACTTTAACTTTGGCTATAACTTTTGAATGGTAAAGGTTAGGGCTTTAATACTTCACATATGTAATCCTTGTGAGAAAACGCTGTATTTGATACCAAGAACTTTGACCCTTTGACGTTGACCTCGGAATTTGACCTATTTTAAAAATACAACCTTAACCATAATTTTTAAAGGGTTAGGACTAAGGGCTTTCATACGTCACATATTTAATCCTTGTGCAACACCTTTCATTTGATATCAAGAATCTTGACCCTTTGACCTTGACCTTGGAGTTTAACCCATTTTAACACAAAAAATTCTACTTTTTCCTTTGGCCCTGATTTTTAAACGGTAGATACTAGGAATTTCAAATATCGATTTTGACTTTTATTTGAAACCAACAATTTTGACCTTTTGACCTTGATCTTGGAGATTTCCTTACTTACGAAAAAAACTTTAACCTTGGCCATAACTTTTGAATGGTAAAACCTAGGGTTTTCATACTTTACATATGCAATCTTTGTGAGGAGACCTTTCATTAGATATAAAAAAACTTTGACCCTTTGACCTTGACCTTGGAGATTGACCTACTTTTTACTAACTTTAACCTTGGCCAACAAGGGCTAGAGCTTTCATACTACACATTTGTAATCCTTGTGACAAGACCTTTCATTGGATATCAACAAATTTGACCTTGAAATTTGACCTACTTTTTACAAAATCTGTGGCCATAACTTTTGAATGGTAAGGGCCAGCACTTTTATTCTTCCCATATGTAATCTTTGAGACCCCATATGTAATCTTTGAGATAAGGCCTTTCTTCAATCATCAACAACCTTGACCCTTTGACCTTGACCCTGGAGTTTGTCCTTCATTTAAAAATGTTAACCTTGGTCATAACCTTTAAACAGGTGGTGCTAGGGTTTTATATTTCACATTTGTATTTCTTGTGAAAAGGCCTTACTTTAGGCACCAACATATTTGATCAGTATTTGAGAAAGCTTAACCTTAGCTATTTTGCCATACGGGGGCATCAGTGTTTCACAAACACTGTGTTCTTGTTCTTACTAGTTTTACCCTCCATATCTTCAACCGTTGAATTTCTCGAAGTTTTTTCCAGGGTTCCATTGAGTTTGAGATAACAATGTTTGACTGTACATTTAGTAAAGACTATAATTGGGTAGATTTTCTAAAACTATTTAAGTTTATGAACTTTTCATTTTGAATATTTTTATTTCATTTAAGGCAATGCTGCTAGACAGTGAACCTTCTCCAAGACCAGGAAAAATGACATTAGGGCAAATACAGGCAGCATTGATGTCAAGAAATTTATCCACAGATGGAAGCAGAGAAATTCTTAACCATAGATTATTGTTAGATGATTTATGTAAGTGTCTTTCATGATTGTCAATTTCAAAGAGCGATATATGGTAAGTGTCTCAATTGGCCCCTTAAAATGAATATCTTAATTGTACTTTATATATAGCTTAAATTTGTACAGCTATATATGCGACCTTTCTTGGTTATATTCATTTTGATAAAAATGTCGTTATTTTAGAAATATGACATCATAAAAATAACGTTTTCCCGCCATTTTAGCATATTTTGTATAAAAGTGCTTATTTTCAAGCAGTTTTTCTTTCAGAAAATATAGAGCGCAGCCTAGAACAAGATTTATATTTTTACCAAAGAATTGTATCTATCCAATGCTAATTAGTGACAGAAAAATTACGTATGTTCTACACTGCGCTCTATGTTTCCCATAAAAAAAAACATCAAGAAAAAGGCATATTTTTGGCTTTTTTGTTAGATAGCAAAAATAGCATTATTTCTCATGTCATTTACAGGTAGTGAGTGCATATAATTGTGAAAAATATATTGGAAATATTTCTAATATAATCTCCTCTACAAAATGAATATCAATTAAACATATTTGAATGTCATTCTAAAATGTTGATTTTTGGGGGGCCAAAATTGGCTCTTGTCATATATACTCCTTTGTTTGAGTTTTGGTTAAGTGAGACTGCAACTGGAGATCAAACCTTAACACAGGGATATATATGAAAATTCACTGTAAATCTTCTCAAGAACAGCAGAACCTCGGTATAGTATTAAATAAAAATGTATGCAGATATCTCCAGAGACTGTACCGATCTAATTTACAGCCATCCTTCAGTACTTGGTGGTGTCTCAATATGAGTAAAAAATTATCAAAAGGATACACATAAAAAGCAAACACAAACAAGTCATTGAGATACAGTAAGGATTCATACTTTTACAGTGTTACATGTAAACAAGAGTAAGAAATAAGAACCACAGAACATTTCTCAGTAATGTAATTGCTGTGAATTAACATATTTTTTTTTAATGAATTTCTTTAATTTGACAGCATGTAGCATTCTTAAAGTACCTGTCCATCTTCCTGAGATTACTGGAGATCTTGGAAAAGTTCTGTATTATGCAATACAGGATGATTGTATGAGGGTAGATGCCTGGGCAGATATCACAGTACCACTTCTTGGACAGACCTACACCAAGACTCTGAGAGCCTATGTAGATTTAGACCCTTGTAGCTTTGTCTTCCAGGTGGCATTTGAGGGATTTTCATACACAAAGGTTCTTCTGAGTTACAATTGGGGTATGTCTATCCTTTTTATCCGCCCGGATCGATAGATCCGGGGCGTATATTGTTTTTGTCCTGTCTGTTTGTCTGTTTGTCTGTCGTCAACTTTAACCTTCGCCAAAACTTTTGAACCATAGGAGATAGAGACTTCATATTTGGTATGCATACTCCACTAATAAAGTTCTTTCTTTCAAATAACATCAAGGTCAATGACCTTGTGACGTTGACTGTGACCTATATGCTAAAAATAGCATTTTCAACTGTTTGTCATAACTTTTGAACCATAAGAGATAGGGACTTCATATTTGGTATGCGTACTCCACTAATAAAGTTCTTTCAAATAACATCAAGGTCAATGACCTTATGACCTTGACTGTGACCTTTATGCTAAAAATAGCTTTTTCAACTGTTTGTCATAACTTTGGGACCATAAGAGATAGGGACGTCATATTTAGTATGCATACTCTACTAATAAAGTTCATTCAAATGACGTCAAGGTCAATGACCTTGTGACCTTGACTGTGACCTTTATGCTAAGTTCGTCTGAAATAGCTTTTTTAAATCCTTTTGCCATAACTTTGAACCATAGGAGATAGAGACTTCATATTTAGTATGCATACTCCACTAATTAAGTTCTTTCTAATGACACCAAGATCAGTGACCTTATGACCTTGACTGTGACCTATATGCTAAAAATATCTTTTTCCTCTTTTTGCCATAACTTTTGAACCATAGGAGATAGGGACTTCATATTTAGTATGCATACTCCACTAATAAAGTTCCTTCAAATGACATCAAGGTCAATGGCCTTGTGACCTTGACTATGACATATTAACTAAAAATAGCTTTTTTTTTCGAATTTTGTTGACGCCGGGCGCATAGTGTTTCACAAACACATCTTGTTTGAAATTGATGTTTACACAAGTTTTTCCTACCTTTGTAATTAAATATTAGGAGACATATAAATTTTTGTTTGTTTGTTGAACTTTCTAGCTGTCCATCTGTCTGTCTGTTTGTCCACAAAACTCTTAACCTTGGCCATTTCTTTTGCATTTTGTTGCAAGTTTTTCTTGTGACAAACTCTTTTGTTTGGGGGGGGGGGGGCGAGTTTTATTTTTGTATTAATTTATATAATCCTAGATGTATGGGAATGTTTATTTTTATCCCAACAAATTGAGAAATCAAGGTTTGTTTATACTGTTTATATATCAATATATTTTTTGTGTGTTACAGGGAAAGATGAAACTGCAGAAATTTCAAAGCATGTCATTGTCAAGTAAGTTAATTTTTATGACCATTAAGTAAGATTAGAGAGAAGCTGATGACTTTTTTAAGCTCACAGAGCCAAATGGGAAAAAATCTTCTGAAAGCATCTTCAAAAAATGTACTGTAGATCACTAAATTTTTGCGACACCTTATTTTTGCAAGATTGTCATTGACTCTTCGTAAGCGAGAAATAATTTTCACGAATTGTTGTTATTCCTCTATATAATCGTAAGGAATATTTTTATACGCGAGATTTTAATTTTCAAGAAACACACTGTCTCGCATAATTACACGAAAATAGAGTTCTCGCGTATAAAAAGTGATTTACAGTACTTGCTAGATTCAAGGTCATAACCCCTTTAGATGGGGGAGGGCATAGATTAGGATCACATTGATTTTTTTCTAACTTTTCAAGAAGTTGGTCTGATTTTCTCTTGTCAGAGTGCTCTGTTGATTTTCTTTAACCAAAGTGCTCTGTTGAGTGATGATTCCCATGGGCCCTTTTTTTAATTATTTTTTTTTGTTTTTTATTTGTTTATGTTACTTTACTTGTCATTTTATCCACAAATTTAATCTTTGCTGTAACTTCTTTTCCTCAGTGTTGAGAGCTTTTTGATATATTTGATAAATGAAATTAAACTGAAAACCATACATTCAAAGTAGTTTTTCTTTTTTGGAGGACATTTAAATTCTTGTAAATATATTTTACAACTTGAATATAAATGTTTGCTTGATTTTTTAGATATAAAATTGATAGAGATGTTGAAAATGGCATGTTTCTTGTGAGTTTTGGACTGAAAATATGTGCTGGAGATTGCTTTTTAGATGATTATTTTCTGAAGAACATTCAAATTCCTATTCCACTGTGTGGAGAATTTGTCCTCCCAGGTATTTAAAGAAAACATAAAAAAATGAATGTAGAGTGAGTTGTTGACAATGTAATGGTAGATATTGAATTAAACAAAGCAAATGTAATTTTGAAGGTGGAGGGTCATTCAGCGGCCTTTTACAGACAATTGGAGGGAAAATGACAGAAGAAGCATTTGAGCTGGTATTAAAAAAGTTTGATCTTGACGTAAGTATGATTTGTTTTCTATAGGAATTACTGTATATACTCGCCTATAAGTAAGATTTTTGGGAGTTAAACTTTGATCCAAAACTCTATGACCGACTTATAGGTGAGATATAAAGATATTGGTATTTTAGAAGGTCAATATTTCTAACATAAGCTTAAAAAATACAACCGACTTATAGGCGGGTATATAGGGTAATATAATGTTGATATAGCAATATAACTCAATTAACTTCATTTAGTGTCTGGCCAGTTAAATGTCAGTGGAAATAGCAATCTATTGAATCAAACAGTTCTATAACATTGGTTCATCACAAGAATATAAAGAGCTGTCACATATTTTGCATCACAAAAATTTGTATTGGGAATGCTGGACAAAAGAGGGGTGCAGCATTATAGTCCTGTTTAAGAAGAGGTTGGGGTTGATAGGGTTTATAAACATGTGTACAAAGTTATGTAAAATAATGTTTTATCCTTCAGATGGTATTTAAATCTGGACCAGTGCAGCTACCACCAGGACCAGATGGTAAGTTATGGTAGCCATAATCTGTGTAGCTTATATGTAGTATAACATTTCTTAAAGTGGCAAGGAAGATTATCATAACTCATACAAATCTTACATTCTTTGCATAAACTTGGGAAGGTTAGGATAAATTTTATATTTATTTCATAATGTCCAATATTTTTTATTGTAGATTGTCCTATTTCTTTTGACTTCCGAAAGTACCTACCCCCTGCAATAAGAAATATGGTGACTTGTGTGCAGCCTCCCAACTGCTGGGGGATAGACTGTAGCCTTGACCTGACATTTACCATTCCTTTAGGAAACATTAAAATCACAAAGAATATTCCTTTCTGGTTCAAATTGGACCCATGTGATTTTGGCATTGACATTGGGTTTGGAACACAAACTTTGTTAAAAACCCGCCTTCTGCAGTATGAGTTTGGTATGAACCCATTTCAAGTAGCCTGATATTTTTCAAAAATATTTTTGTCATGTATTAAGCATAAAATGGAAACTTTTATATAAATGCTGATATTTCCTGTGTAGGTGTATGTACATTTTTCCTTATGGGATAGAATTAACTTATGTACTTTTCACAAATTTTCTTTATCTATTCCTGTTTAGGAAAAGAAAAGTCTCTGACACTTGGATCAGGAAATCCTGCACCTGTTGAAATCATGTAAGGAAACCTTTTAAAAAAATGATAAAAGACATTCAGTCACCATTTAATGTTTGAACTTAGTATGCAACTTTGTGACCTCCAACATACTGTATTAAGCACTAAAAATTCGCCTTATTTAATTTACATATAGATATAAGATTGATAAAATGGAGGGAAATAAAGGCTTTATTGTGGATGTGAGGGTGATGATTTGCCTACCTATGGATGGAAAGAAGTACTGTATTCCAACTGAAGAAGGGTTACAGTTGCTTCAAAACCAGGAAATCCCAGTGTGCGACCAGCGGGCTCTCATTAACTTCAAAAGTTTGTATTTAATTGTAAAATATACATTTCATTCATAATTAAAAAAAAATCTTTAAATCAGAGCCTATTTATATGTGATTTTAATAGCTGAAAATGAAGATAGGAATTTGCGATACCTTATAAAAGAAGTTTTGTTATAAAAATGTTAATGTTTTTATTTTAGACTTTTCTATCTCGGACTGGTTTAGAGATAAGGCATTGGACATTGGAGAGCAGCTAGGAGAAGGAGCAAAGATGTTATTGTTGGAAGAACTGAACCTGACAAATTTCTTTCAGAAGACCAAGTGTGACAGAACAAGATCACCATACATTCCATCTGTAGAGGGGATGCACAACAGTAAGGCATCATTTGCTTTGAGGATATTTATTTTCGCATCTCTCACCCCTTTTTTCAGAAATCTGTCATTGAACAAATATTCCAATTCCTTACTTTGTATTCCTTCACCAGATCATTTTAATTTAAGCTAACTAAAACATGTGTGCAATTGCATACATTTTTAAACATGGAATAGAAAGTTGAGATTCATAATACAATTATTGTATTGTGAAATTATTGACAAACAATACTTGTTACTTTTAACAGAGCACTTTTGCCCTTATTGTGCAGTAGTTTTAATGGCATGAATTAACGAGGCCGAGTCTAATTCGAGTGCGCATCACTTTGCGCAGCTTTTTAATTTCATGCAGTCATTAATTATTTAAATTTTAATACAAAATTAACATTATTTGTAACTCCTACAACTCCTACTGATCTGAAAATGTGATTTTACGACAATTATTGGGAAAAGAACGTTGAAATGGCTCTAACAACGTCACCATAGATATGTATTTTTACCGTAATATGGCAATTTTAGAGGTATTTGGCTTCGACCTAGACCAATCGAGATGGTGAACTTTTTTGAAATTTCACAATTTGGTGACTTTTTACATTTACTTTCATTTACTTGAATGAAAAAGAAATCCCTCAGAAATACAAAAAATATGTGTGTAATTTGGCGATTTTCCATTTACAAATTCATAGGATTATAAAGTAAAGTTTGACAACATTTAAGATGGCCCACTATGAAAACGGGGTGGTAAACATTGATATTTTAATCCTAAAACAATAAATAAAACAGTAAAAATTAATTATCAAAAAATTATCAAAATCCCTAGGGCAGAAATAATTAGACTCGGCCTCGTTAAACCTTTGTTATATTTCTGCAAAAGTATAAAAAGTTTGATTATCCATACATGTAGATATTTTTTTAATCCAACTATGTTTTTTTTTTGCATCCCATTGCCTTTGGATAAGAGATAGAAAGCACAAATCTGGTTTGGTAAAAGGTCATGAACAGTTACCAAATAGGGGAAATCATAATATTTATTCCATATTTGTTTTGTCTTGATACGTTACTCATTAATCACTAAAAATGCTGGAAATTAGACAGACGGACATATTCTTATTTAGTAGATATCTAACTTGTCACAAAATATAATTTTCTTTTATATTTTCCTTTTGTAGCATGTCCCAAAACCATAGCATTTTTGCCTTCCAAGATTCCTGATCCAATGTCTTGCTACATCCCTGACTATTGCACAGGAATAGAATGCTGTGCAGAGATCCCAGGTCTGGGACTAGGATTACATCTGTTTTTGAATTTGGACCTGGACAAACTTGAACTGAGTTATGGATTTGAGAATTTAAAAACAAAAATTAAACTTATTGACTATGTTTGGGGAAATGAAATCAAAGTAGAAGTTGCTGGAGGACTAATTAAGTTTATGTAAGTCCTGTACATACTGTTATTGAAATGGCAGCTTATTTCTTTTTTTTTCAATTAGCTTTACAGTTAAATTGATGAAATAATAAATTTTGCTTTTATTTTTTGGCCATTTATGTCAAATTTAGGAAGCTGAATTTTGAAGAAATTTTTTTTTTAGATCCAAGACAAAAATATTTTTCATTCTGATTGAGCAATGTAAGCTTCATTATAAAAATGTTTCTCTTCATGAAATAAATTTTATTTTTAGTAAGAGAATTTAGAGGATGATATATTTTTTTTTCTAGATTCAGCATAAAATCAATATCAGATGAAAATGTTTATGTTTTCAATGCCCGGGCAGCTGTTTGCTTGGATGGAGGAAAATGTTCAATTGACATTCCAGTGTTTACCAACACAAAGCTACCGTCTATAAGAGCTCTTGTGACAGGAGAATTCAGTAAGTTTATTATTTTGGATTGGAATATATTGAATAAAAAATCTTTTTTAACAATATGAAAATTTATACACATACATGTGTAATTGTGTGAAATGCATTTATACACGTATAATTAAATTTGTGAAAAACTATACAGTTACTGTTTATTACAGAATAACGATATGTTTTCTATTTTGTAGATTTCTCCATGTCCAATTGGCTGGAAAATATGGGAATTCCTTCACTGGATGACTTAAAGGACAGTGCCAAAACAATGTTAATCCAACAGTTAGGTGTGGACAAGTTTTTACTGGACAAACCCTGTGATATAACTGGTGACTTGTATTCTCCGAGTTTCCATGGATGGAAAAATAGTAAGAACTGAATAATTTGATAATTTCTCATAAACTGCTACATGTTCTGTACAGATTAATTCCCAGCTCATATATTAAACTGATTTAAATTAAACCCTGCTCCTAAGGAGAGATGGTTATACTGTTTTACCCTTATGTATCTGTCTGTTTTTGTGTCTTTCCATAACAGATTTGTTGTCTGTCTGTGCCAAATTTCCATTGTATTTATACATTAAAGTGGGAATATTAGTAGTAAGCATTGACCCACAATAGACTTCTTGTTTCCACTGTTTTGTGCTTAGAAATAATATTCTTATTGGAGGAAAAAGTTATAAAATCATAACAAGTTTGATAATACTCCCTGTATTGCAGATTGTCCCTTGGATTGGGTAGTACCACCAGCGATTCCATTCCAAAATGTGAAGTGTGCTCTGACAGAGAACTGTACCAGGATTGACTGTTGTGTGGACTTCAGCCTTCTGAATCTAAAGCTTCACTTTTTCCTCCACTTTGACAGGTGTAATTATGTCATCTCTGGTGGAATAGAGAAGAAAACCTTCTCATATGGACTTCTGGATTTCAACAATTTTTGGGGTAAAATAGATTAATTATGAAATAGACATGTTTCAATTGCTTATTAAATACATGTATTTTGTTAAATTTACAAAATTGTAATGATTGATTGATGAAATGTTTTCATTCTTTTATCATATTTTTTTTGTAGGAAAAGAAATAAAGACTGACATTGCAAACATCATTTTTATTAAGTGAGTTCAAACATTCTCCCCTGTTTCTTAATGATTTTTGCAACATGGCTCAATATTTTCTTTTTTTCATTGGTGCTGAATATTAATATAGATTCAAGGCTAGTCAGTTAGAAGTGTCCAGGAAATATGTCCTTGACCTTGGAGTTTCTGTTTGTTTGGAGCCCAGGAAATGTGAACTAGATGTCCCAGTCTTCAATAAAGTCCTTATTCCTGTCCTTAACTGTGACCTTGCAATGGATTTCTCCTTAAAAGGTAAAATAAAGCAGTCACTACCATTAAAACTTCTTGAAAATTTGTCAAATTAGGGGGGGGACTAAACCAATTTAAAAAATGATAATCGGTTTGAAAAGGAATCAAATTCATTTTTGTTCACTTTAATCTAATATTGCAAATATAGTAACTGTTATTTGTGACTAGTGCTATATATTACTTTGGTTTAAAGGCTTTTCTCTGACACACTGGATGAATGAGCAAGGGTTGTCACTGGATGGAAGCCTGTCTACAGCTTTGTCCAACTCTCTGTTCAAGCTGTTGGGCATTGATTCATTCATGAAAGAGAAATCCTGTTCCCGCTCAGAGCCACCATACAGTATCAACAGGTTACAGGAAAATGGATGGTCATCAGGTCTGTATAGCTTCACCATCAAAGTCATTCTAACCCTCTCTGGGCCTAAGGATTGTAGCATGTCTTAATGCAATCTGGCATTATATGATTAGTTATTAATAATAATACATGTATGATATACAAGTTTTACAGAAAAAGACTTTATTTAGAAATTTGATCATTGAAATTAATTGCATTTCTTTTCATTAGAATGTCCAACAAAACTGCCACTTTTCAAAATTCGTGGAACAACATCTTGTAACATTAAGGAGTCTTGTACAGCTGTATCTTGCTGTATAGAGGTGGGCAAAATAGGAAGGACATTCGAAGTGGAACTGGACATTGACTTTTGTAACCAGAAAATTACATTTGGGATTGAGAAACTGACAGAAACTCTCTCTCTACAGCTGTTTGAATTTGGTAAATTAGTGTACATGTATCTATAGAAAACATAATCATGATGGATATTGTTCACCGCCAAGACAATTTTGCAGTATCAAATTTATAATGCAGTCTAATTTTTTATATCTCAATATTCCTGATTTTGCAATAGTAGGTATATAACATCAAAAAGCATGAATTCACGTTAAGTTTGCTGTAAGCCTTTTTTAATTCATAAATTGTTGATTTGTTTAGAAACCTTAAGGTAGCTTTACCTCAAAAAGTAAATATGAGTGTTCAAATTTTACATTTTTCAGTAAATTCAATACATACATGTTCCTGAATGGAATAATGTACAAGAACCTGTAGAAAACATTTGCAATGTCACTTTTATTTATTTTTTTTTTCATTTTAGGAGTGAGGAAAGAAATTGTTATCAAGGGAGTTGTAAAATTTGGGTAACAAGTTTTTCTTTTTAATTTGAGCTTATGAAATTACAATGTACTTTAATTTGATGGTTATATTATGACCTTGATTGTTGCAGTTACACCATCTGGGACCATGCTGGGGAAGGGGTGTATGTAGTGACTGTAGATTTGGCAATATGCCTGGAGGATGGAGGTGACTGCTTAATCAATGTCAACATTCTCGATCAAGCCAAGCTTTCCAAGCAGATCTGTCAGTGGGGCACTGGTTTCCTTAACCCTGGTAAGAAAACTTTTATGAAGTTGATCTTATTTTTGCCATTTGACATTGTTAAAGATATTTATGTGTGTATACGTGTGCATGGACTGGAATGTAATAAACTAGTGTTTTGTATGAAAGTCCCTGAACAAATTTATTTGAATATATTTCATTTTGTGTAAATTATTCTCTTTTTTATCTTATGAAGGTTTCACTTTGGATAGTTTTATGAAGGAAAATGCCTTGACAGCCTTTGATCAAATAAAAGGCTTGGTTCTTGATGAACTTAAGGAATCTTTAGGTCTACCTCAGTATCTGGATGACCCACCCTGTTCATTATCCAGCCAGACATACAATCCAAACAACAATGGACTCAAAAACTGTATGTATAATAGTAATAATTAGTAGGAATATTTTTAATGTGGATTTTTCAATTTTCCAGTTTTGTAATGAATTTCCTATTATGTTAATTGTCTCCTATATTTGTTATTGATTACTGTGTAAAAAGGTGTTGGAGTGTGTTATAATTGTCTAATACTGGTATATTAAGCCTTTGATAAATAATGTGCAATTGAACATTGAAGCTTGTTCCAAACCCATTGGATCGTTGCCCTCACTTCCCTCCAACATGAAGTGTGCCGTGTCGGAGTCCTGTACTGGGATTGACTGCTGTATAGGCGCTGCACCAATTCATCACAACTTCCATGTGTATCTAGATATTGATCCCTGCAGTCTGAAGATGGAGTTTGGGATTGATAAATTACAGTTCCAGCTCTATTTACAAGAATTTGAGTTTGGTGTGGTAAAAGATGTCAGACTGGTCAATGTTGTCAGAATGAAGTATGTTGATGACACTTAATTGTGTTAGATATATTTATTAATGTTATTTTATATATAGTAAAACTTGTTTAGTATGAACACGGATATTGCAAATTCTTGGATATAGCAAAGTTATCTTGGATCCCCGATTGTATTTTTTTAACGAATTCCTTTTACGGATATAATGAATTATGGATATAGTGAAGTAATTTCTTAGGTCCCCATGACTTCTTTATAACGAAGTTTTACTGTAAAATGAATTTAATATTTATGTGAAAATTCTGCAACTTCTTTATAGTTAAGCTGAAGAAATTCAAGAGCTTGCAAAATGATGTTAGGTCTTGTAAATTATTCTTACATCCCAAAAATGCATGCAACATATGATAACCACAAACGTTTATTTTTCTTGAAAATATGGATGTTACATGTTTTAAAGTGGAAACAATTTGACAATAGAAGTTGTAGACAAGTTTAATTTATTTTGTGTCATTTTAAAGGTAAAACTGCAGAAAATAAACCTTATGCTCTTTAAAAGACAGTATGTTGATTTGTTTCATCTGCATTTAAGCCATTACTGCTTGCTAATTGTTAGAGTACACTCCTTAAGAAAAAGTCATTTTATTTTGTAGATTTAAGATTTGGGACTTAGCAGCTGAGAATCAGTTCTTGGTAGATCTGAGATTTAGTGTATGCTTTGATTCAGCATCTCAGTGTATACTGGAAATTCCAATATTCCAACAACAACGCCTTCCAAAGAACATTTGTGATTTTGCTGCAAGCTTTTCAAGTAATTTTTGTTTGAAAGAGTTTTTGCTTTATGAATGTTTTTCCTCAGTAGAGATGCTATACTCGTATTTTCTCACAACTTTCACTGTTAACCATTATCTTCCTGATGATTTGTGCAGATTTTTCCTTGGATGGCTGGAAGTCCTCAATGGGTTTTAACATGGGTAAATTGACATCATTGGCAACTGACCAGCTGATGGAATATCTTGGTATTGCTGGTTACCTGAAGAAAAAGCAGTGCAGTGTACAGAGTGGGAATAGGACCATCCAGGGCTGGAATGATGGTAAGAAGTTTTTGTCACCACAGTTGGAATAACAAAAAAAATATTGAGAATTGTTAAAGATCAGTGGAAAACTTCACTTTGTACAATTATCACCAATTGAAAACAAACTGTGTGACTTTTCTCTATACATCAAAAGACAAAAAAATCATTTGTGCTTTGGAATAGAAATTAACATTGCAGATTGCCCGAAGTCCTCCTCATACCAGAAGCCTGATTTATCCTCATTGCCTGTGCTGTGCTCCATATCCTCTAAATGTACAGAGATCCACTGCTGCTTAGCCATGGAATCTATTGGGAGGAACTTTGAGACCTTCATTGACTTAGATTCATGCCTCAAAACACTTGAATTAGGAATAGAAGAATACAGAACTAAAATCAATTTGTTGACATATTCATTTGGTATTTAAAAGTTTTATAAGTTTTGTTTACTAGCATTTCATTTGTTGAAAATTTTAATTTTTCTTGTACAGTATCTTAACGGTAAGTGTGAATTTATTGATTCTCTAAAAATTTATTCTATGGGTTTTTAAGGATCAAAGAAAAGTTATTGGATGAAGGATGTGATCAGAATAGAGTAAGTTGTTATTTCATATCATACATTTATATTTTGTGTGAACTTTCAAAAAATACACTAATTCATATGATACCAGTCAAACAAATCCTTGCTCTTTGTTTAATAGGTACAGTATTGAAGATCTCGAAGCCAAATACCTTGTGAACATGAAAGTTGAGATTTGTCTTGAACATGGGCAGCCATGTATTATCTCTCATGATGTTGTAAAAGATGTGTACCTACCAAAACCTGGCTGTGACTGGTCATTTGACTTCTCTGGTGTGTCATTCTGCTTCATTGATATACCGTATAAGTGGAAATTTTAGCGAGACGCAAATTTAGCGATTTCTACCTAAAATTGGGTATTTTATTTTTAGCGAGAAGTAATTTTAGCGATTTTAAAATGCTTAGTTAAGAAGCTATTACAAAAAATACGCAATTAATTTTTAGCGATATTCAATTTTAGTGATGTCCGCACTCTCGCTAATAATGCCAAAATTAAATCCTCGCCAAAAATTCTACTTATACGGTATTTCACAATTCATAATTTTTTTTATTGTAACTCATTTTAAGTGTAATAAGACATTGATAACAAATATTAATCAAACAAGCATACCCTCCATTATTTTCCTGCCATTCATGATGACTTGTTAGCTCACCTGAGCCGAAGGCTCAAGTGAGCTTTTCTGATCAAAATTTGTCCGTCATCTGTCATTATCGTTGTCGTTGTTGTCGTCGTTGTCGTAAACTTTTCACATTTTCATCTTCTTCTCAAGAACCACTGGGCAAATTTCAACCAAACTTGGCACAAAGTATGGCCTAGCTGAAGGGGATTCAAGATTGTTCAAATGAAGGGCCACGCCCTCTTCCAAGGGGAGATAATTATGAATTAGTGAAAAATTACTAGCATTTTTAAAAAATCTTCTTCTCAAGAACCACTTGCCCAGGAAAGATGAAACTCATGTGGAATTATCCTCAGGTAGTCTAGATTCAAGTTTGTTCGAATCGTGACCCCCGGGGCTAGGATGGGGCCAAAATGGCCGACCAAAGTTTTACATAGGAATATATAGGAAAAATCTTTAAAAATCTTCTTCTTAAGAACCACTGGGCCAGGAAAGATGAAACTCATGTGAAATCATCCTTAGGTAGTGTAGATTCAAGTTTGTTCAAATCATGACCCCCTGGGCTAGGGTGGGGCCAAAATGGCCAACCAAAGTTTGACATAGGAATATATAGGAAAAATCTTTAAAAATCTTCTTCTTAAGAACCACTGGGCCAGGAAAGATGAAACTCATGTGGAATCATCCTCAGGTAGTGTAGATTCAAGTTTGTTCAAATCATGACCCCCGGGGCTAGGGTGGGGCCAAAATGGCCGTCCAAAGTTTTACATAGCAATATATAGGAAAAATCTTCTTCTATAGAACCACTGGGCCAGGAAAGATGAAACTCATGTGGAATCATCCTCAGGTAGTGTAGATTCAAGTTTGTTCAAATCATGACCCCCGGGGCTAGGGTGGGGCCAAAATGGCTGACCAAAGTTTTACATAGGTGTATATAGGAAAAATCTTTAAAAATCTTTTTCTCAAGAACCTTTGGGCCAAGAAAGACAAAACTTATGTGGAATCATCTTCAGTTAGTGAAGATTCAAGCTTGTTCAAATCATGACCTCTGGGGCTAGTTTTGGGCACAAAATAGCCGACCAAAGTTGTACATAAGGATATATAGGGAAACCTTTTAAAATCTTCTTTTCAAGTACTTCAAAGCCATGATTAGTGATATTTTTCTATTTATATGGAATCATCCTCAGGTGGTGTAGATTGTACATTGTTCAAATCATGACACCCAAGAGGGTTAAAATTCAAGCCCCCCCCCCCCCCCCCCAGTAAACTTTCAGTTTTGATCTGATATGTGATTTTTCCTAGTAGATGTGCTCAGGTGAGCGATGTGGCCCTTGGGCCTCTTGTATTTTGTAGGATTCTCCATCTCAGGGTGGTACAAGAACATGTCCTTGACCCCAGGCTCAGTGCTGTCAACTACTTATCTGTCCATGCTAAAGGAGAGTCTAGGGATCACCAATTTCCTACTGCCCAAGGTAAAACAATGTAACAGGAGGTCAGCTGCTTATCTTCCAGAGACTGAGGGTCAGACTGGATGGAAAATTGGTGAGTAGTTCATGGTTGATCTCATAAAATGCAGCGAGACAAGGGAGACAAATGTAGGTCATTATACTAATATTAACATAGTTTTAAGAAATGAATGAATCCTGTTGTTTTCAGACTGTCCCCTTGGTGTGGGTAACATGACCCAGTTAACTAGTTCCCTTCCCATCAGCTGTCACCTGATGAGCCACTGTACTGCTGTGGAATGTTGTCTGGATTTTCAGGATCCTCTACAACAGACAATACATTTCTTCCTCGATCTGGATCTCTGTCTCCAGACTCTCAAAGTGGGAATAGAGAAACTCTCCTATGAAAAGACATTGTTCTCTTACCAAAATGGTAATTTAATTTTGTTGTTAAAATGGTTCATTAATTGAAGATATCTGAAAAAAAATCACTTGTCGTGTGAATGCATGTTTGCATTTTCCCCTGATTTGTTGAAACTAAGCAACTATAGTTAATAAGATTTAAGTTTTGTATTACTTCCTTTCCATTTACTTGGTCATTTAAAAGTATCAATGTATGTACAGGTGTGGAGGACAGCTTCAGCTTGATGGATGTGGTCCAGTTGAGGTAAGTATAATATTAATATACTGCATTAGAAATATTTCCATGGATATTTTACATGTACAGTGGACCTTCAGATATCCGGACGCCAGATATCCGGATGCTTCAGTATCCGGACGATTTTTCATCGGAACAAAATTTTTAAATGTTATTCTGTCTTGTTTAACTGGTGATTCAGATATCCGGATGCTTCACATATCCGGACAAATTGACTGGGAACCAAAGCGTCCGGATAAATGAGGGTCCACTGTACATGCTTTTGTAACAGTGTTCTTTCATGTCCAGATATACATGTACATTTCACTGATGTAAAAGTAAGGTTTTGTTAAATTTACATAAAACAGGTACAAGATTGAAGATATTGACAGGAGTGACTTAGAGTTAACAGCAGAAATCAAGATGTGTCTGGAGGAGAAAACTTGTATCTACCAGTCTCTTTTGTTTGATAAACAGAGGATACCAAAACCTGGGTGTAACTGGAACCTTAACTTTACAGTACCAGGTTTGTCTTCTTTAGAAATCTCTGCTTTTATCTGACCTCAGCAAGGCTGAGATGAGTCTATGCTACACTTCTAGTGTCATATTCTCAAGACATTTTATATTTCCAGGGTTACTTCGTGCTATAAGCTGTACCTGAACTCTAAATTTGCAGCAGCTTAAACTTGATGCATTTATAATCTGTTTCTTTAGATAATGCTGCATCTGGTCTGTATTTGTCAGATAACAAGCAAGATTTTAAGTTTTTAATAATAATTAAGATCTTACTCCAAATAAGGACCAAAATTACAATGGTGATGTACTGGATACAGAATCATTTTACTTGTGTTATTTTAACGTGATAATTATCTGTAATAAATTTACCCAGTCACAGCTGACTTCTTCAGTGAATTTGCCTCAGTTAAGATTTGCACATTTGTCCATAGGGCAAACGAGGCAAAAATGAAACTGAATATCAAATTTCCTGGCAGTCTTGCTTAAGATGCTTTCTTCAAGTATCAAAATTTATAATTCAGTTGATCTATTTTCAGTATAACTTCTTGTATCTGCTTAGTCTTTTCTTCTTGTTTTTTTTTTTTTTTTTTTTTTACTGAATTCAATATGAATGTACGTGTAAATCACTGATTGGGCTTGCTAGCTGGCTAACTAACTTATACTGTCTCTTGTTTTTTGATAAAGATTTCTCCTTGACAAACTGGTTCAGTGGTATAGGTGCTGCTATTGGATCTCAGCTTTCCACCCTGAATGCTGCCAAACTTCTAGAAGAACTTGGAATTGCCAAATACATGAAGGAGGTTCCTTGTCAGAGATCTGGCCCAGTATACAGTCCTGCTGTCAATGGGTGGAAAAAAGGTCAACACTTTTACTTTATTATCAGTAATTAATACATGCAGGTATTTAGTATAAGGGATACATTTAGATATAAGGTACACATTCTCAACTGATATGTAATTGTTACATGTGTTCAATGTTCTGTAAGCAAATTCCAGTTCTACCATTGTAGACTGCCAGTTGGAAGTTGATATGATGCCAATCTCTGACTCAGTCACATGTCTGGTGAAGGACTCCTGTACCTCAGTCAGCTGTTGTATGGATGTAGGATTCATGAAGACATCATTTGAATCTTATCTTACATTGGATGCCTGTAATTATTGGATGGAAGTTGGTATTGAGAAGCTGTCATTTAATGTCAGTCTCAAGGATGTGACATTTGGTTGGTATCATGATACAACTTATTGGTAAATTGATGTTTTAAATGGAAAAGTTCATTTATTTGTCCTTGCTGGCAATGGATGTAAATTGGATCTTCTTGTATAATATTTTCAGGCATAAAGAATCAGTTCTACCTGAACAGTGTGATTCGTATTGAGTAAGATATGTCTTGTATATTCCTTTTTTTATTGATGTTTGCTTCTCAATATAATTATTAAGGGTATCTTGGCATTGACATTGTTTCACAATTTTTTCCAGTTACATGATTGAAGATTTGCCAGTGGAGAGACAATTTAGAGTATCCTTGACATTAAAAGCTTGTTTTGAGGCCTCTGATGATTCTAAATGTCTGATCAACATTGAAGTCTTCAAGAACACCCTGGTGCCCAAGTCAATCTGTGACTGGACTGCAAGTTTTTCTACTCCAAGTATGGCATTTCTTACTGACAAAATATGTTATGGGAACAAGCACTTTGAAAATGTGTACTCTTATTTATTACAATATTTTCCCATTACAGATTTCGACCTAGATGCCTGGTACAGTAATCTTGGTATCAGTCCAGGATCAGTTCTCTCCCTTGTCAATAAAGACAAGCTGTTGAGTGAGCTTGGAATTCGATCTTATTTAAGTACCAGTCCTTGTTCATTTACTTCTCAGACCTTTAGTCCAGCCAACAGTGATGGATGGAAAAACGGTAGACATTGTTCTTTCTAGTTTATAGCAACATTAAAGAGAAGAAATACCGTATAAGTGGAAATTCTAGCGAGACGCAAATTTAGAGATTTGTCTTTAAAAAGGGTATTTTATTTTTTAGTGATAAGCAATTTTAGCGATTTTTAAATGCTCACTTAAGAAGTTATTACAAATAATACGCAATTAATTTTTAGCGATATTCAATTTTAGCAATGTCAGCACCCTCGCTAATAATGCCAAAATTAAATCCTCGCTAAAAATTCTACTTATACGGTATTGGTTCTGATGATGACATTTTATTCCCTCTGTCTATCTTGTGGTCACATACTGGGCTTTAAGCTACAATTTCTTTGTGTTCCTTTGTAGATTGTAAGAAGGACTTAAGTAATGCTCTTCCTACCCTGCCATCCAATGTGAGATGTAACATACCATCCTTTTGCACTGGAGTAACTTGCTGTATTGAGGAAAGTAAAGTATTAAGGAGTCAACTCACAGTGGGAGTGGAACTAGATGACTGCAACCATGTCCTGACATTCCAAGTGGAACAACTCAAAATCAAAATACAGCTCCATGACTATTCATTCGGTAAAGTGTTTCTCTGCTTAACAACTAGATGTGTTTTACCTCATCATGTTGGACTAAATGAGTCCAAATTTGATTACTTAGTTTAATGAAAGTTTATAAGCCTAAAATACATGTAAGTAAGAACTCCAAAGCTGGTATTCAGTACTATTTACTACACATTTTCAATGGACTTTCATTAGAAAAAAAATGTCCTTTACTACAAATGCAGTCTAAATCAAATCAAGGTATATTTCTTGTTTTGAATTGTTTTATGCGTGTTTGAAACTATGTTGAATTACATACTTTATGAAGTATTTTTATAGAGATAGTTTCTTTAAATTTACAGGTGTAACTGAAAAAAGATACTTGATGAGTGTTATTCAGTTTGAGTAAGTCTTATTTTAAAGTACCTGACAGTGTATATATGCATGAACATATACATTTTGAATGTAGGATTCAAGAATTCAAACCCTATTGACTTGATATTCTCTCTCTAAATTGTTGTCAGAATTAAGTAAGGTCTCTTTAAAGGTAATAATAAGTAACTGATGCTTATTATAAGTGTTACTTATAATACATGAAATGACATTGATTACACATTGTACATGTATTCTTCAGTATTGCGATATCGTTTTGTAAAATTTCAGGTTTAGAATTGATGATGTTCCTGCAGAGAAAGCTTACAAAATATCAGCCTCTCTGAATGTTTGTTATGGAGTAGGACCCTGTGTCTTAGATTCCTTAGACTTACTGAAGGACTTCAAACTTCCCAAAACACTTTGTGAATGGGGCACTGGCTTTCAGATAGGTACAGATTTAAACTTACATATGTGTCTTTAAAAGGGAAATGGTTTAGCCATATAGGTGGACACTGATGAAAAGTGCTAAGTAATCAAGAGCCTTGTAGAATTCCCTGACATACATGTACTGTATTCACTTTGTCCTTCAGCTATCTAGACATGACACAATGTAATGTTATATTTCAGATTTTTCTGGGACCTCCTGGTTGTTGGACAGAGGTTTAAGTCTTGACTCAGTCCTGTCATCAGCTGATGCCACTGACCTGTTATCAACATTAGGAGTACAGGACTTCCTTAAAACAGCTGATCAGTGTGACCGCAGTAGTTCTCTATACAGCCCCAACATCAACGGATGGAAAAACGGTTGGTCTTATTGTTTTCACTAAATTATACAGTAAAATTTGCCTAATCCGCTAGCGCCACTTTTGTCCATTCCGTCATTTTCATCCCATGCACTTCAACAAATTCAATGTACTAAAATTCTGTTAGTAAATACTGACCTACTCTGTTTTCCGAACGGCCAATACTGGTCCCTTCATAATTAACGGTTTATTATTCCCTTCAATCCCACACCTGTTTTGGTCAGAGCAATTAACACCTTTCGTGGTGGATGTGATTTCCGTGTTTAATTAGCATGATTAGTGCCATGAGACGTACTCGTGTGAAATCGGCGGTGATCAAAAAATATATTAATTTTTGTGAATCTTTAAAAATTAACTTTGGAAAACTCCTTTTACCACATTAAAACATAAACACAAAAATATATGTATGCGATAACAAATCAATATATAAATCCTTGTTTCAAAATGGCACCATACATGTAACACTGTGGGGGAAGACATAGTTTTTTTTTTACATAAAACTTAAAAGTGTCTAATAATTAGCACATCGTAAATAATTGCGCATTGCTGTTAATCTTGAATGAGATCATTTGACACAATTTCCGCTTATATTTAGGCAGATTATTTCTGCGTGACTGTCCTGTATATTTTGATTGAGGTAACATTTCACCCGACTTTCATACTTCGTGATTGAACAAATAAGAAAATACATTTAAGTCATGTGAGACTATTCTATAATTTCAGACTCAAAATATTAATTTATTTCATCAACATTTTATTTATAATATGTATATGATGTATTTGTAAATAAACAACGAAATTTTCGTTGATATTTTCATGCATTTTTCAGCCCCAACATCCGGATGGAAAAACCGGCCAAATTTTATGGAACCGGCGGTAGCCGGTTTGGACAAATTATACTGTATTGATATTTTTTCATAATGGTTGCTTGCTGCATTTGATTAAAAATGTGAATACATTACATGAGATAAATGACCTAACTGTTGAATGAACTAAGAGCCTTATTACATAGAGTGTCCAAACACTGGGGTTCCTTCCCCCTTGCCAAGCTCAGTCTCCTGTCAGATCCCACAAGTCTGTACTGGGATTGACTGCTGTGCAGAGATTGGATTTCTGGGAGGTAGAACTATCAATGTACAGGTCCTAATGGACCCGTGTGAAGCCATCATGAGTCTTAACATAGAAAAGATGCAATACAACTTGACACTCTTTGACTATGACTTTGGAACAACAGATCATTTCACACTGCAGGGAGCTGTAAGAATTGAGTATGTACAATTTATATTTATCACATCCTAATGAGTAATGTTATAGTGGTAGTGTGCCCGACAAATTGGATATACACATTTCATGAAATTCAACCTTCTTGTAGACTGCATTTTGGTTTGGAAATTACACATTGGGGCAGTTAAAGTGTTAGGATACACACAAAAAAATTAGGGATGGTATGCTTAATGTGTATGTGTAGTAAGATTTAATAGTGCCACATTAAAGATCTTTTGTTTTTGTTTTACACAGTTTCAACATCCAGAATTTGGTCATACAAAGAAAGTATTTAGTCAATATGAATCTGAGTTTATGCTTAGAATCATCAAATCCCACAGCCTGTGTTTACTCAGCCACTATCTTCAGAAACACCCTGCTACCAAAGAAACCATGTAATATGAACCTCGACTTTATCAATCCAAGTAAGACTATTAAATCAGTTCACTGGTTAATAAATTGTGATTTCGTGTGTCTTATAAATATATATAAAAAAAAGGTTTGACTATTTCTAACCTTTGTTTAAAAAGTTTTTCCCACCATGTTAAAGGTTTTGACTTCACATCGTGGAAAACTCTGAATAACTTTGGCCCTACCCTGACTCCAGAGGAGACTAAGTTGCTGTGGAGGGAGATTGGTTTAGAGGAATATGTCGGGGTGGGGTGTTCTAAGTCATCCCCACCCTACAGTCCTCAGACTCATCCAGGCTGGAATGTTCCCACAAGTAAGATCCATGCTTATTAGGTTCAGAATATTTACAGTACTGCAAGAATGAATTTAATTTTTGACAAAATGCAATAAATTTCATATAAAATAAAAATAGAATACTTTCTTTAGTGCAAGAAATCTTTGCAAGGCTTGCCATTTGCTTAAACTGTCAAAATACAGTATTAAACCCATGTTTCATCTGCTAATGATATTTAGCACTCATACATGTAAAATCATATTTAGTATTACTTTTGACTCTTCTCTAGAGTGTGCTATGAGTCCCCTAAGACAAACCAGTAGCCACCTGAACTGTCACATCACCTCCAACTGTACAGGAGTCTCTTGTTGTCTGGATGATAGTGTTACTGGAATGACTTACCAGTTCTCTATTGATATCAATGCTTGTGATGAAAAACTGACCATCATGTTGGAGAAGATGACATTTACACTGTCTCTGTTTGATTATACCATGGGAACAAAAGAGATTGTGAGATTGTTTGGGGTCCTAGATCTAGAGTAAGTAGTAAACTGTTCTACATAAAAAAAATATTGAACTATTCAATACAATAACCTTTATCATGCTTTGTAACTTGTAACTGTAAATTGAGATCCTTTTAAACATGTCTTTCATTAATTCATTATAGATACATGATTGATGATCTGGCCCTGAGTGGTGAATTTGTGGTGGATCTAAGAATCAAGTTGTGTTACACTAAAGGTCAGAGTTGTGAACAAGACATAGCAGCAGTGACAGGACTAAGGCTGCCTAAAACACTGTGTCATTTACAAACAGGACAGTTCCCAATACCAGGTATCATCTAAAATATGTAGTGCATTTCATTTTATGCTTTTATATTCTGGTAGTAGAGACAAGTATCTGTCTTTAACTTGCCTCTTCAAAGGCTGGCATTTTGAAGATGATGATGCATCTCTCATGGATGACAGAGTGTCAGAGTTGATATTATTGATAGCAAGTCTTTAAATCAAGATATCTCAAATGATGATCTTTGGCTCATTGATTTCAGGTTTCTCACTCAGTAACTGGATAAAAGATAAGATTGATGGACCATTCCTACAGCAGTGGGCTGTGGATCTTCTTAAGTCAGAACTAAAGTTATCTTCTTATCTGAATGACCCAATGTGTAAAAGATCAGACCTTTCTCCAGGAACTGGCAACTGGAATGTGAAAGGTTAGAAACCATTTCAGAAATAGTAAAAAGTAAACAATAGTCTCATATCTCTGCTCTGATTTCATATAGTGGCATGAGAAAACAGGTAACAATGTAATCTCATTTCCAGATTGTACAGAAAGCATCCCAGTTCCCTCTCTGCCAGCCCACACTTCCTGTAGACTGTCTGACTCTTGTTCTGCTGTAAAGTGTTGTACAGACCTTGACTTACTGAAAACATCCATCCAGTCAGAAGTCAATGTAGACAGGTGTAGAGGGAAGGTGTTCATCAGAGTGGAGAAACTGGAGATGGTGATCCTACTTACGGAATTTGAATTTTCAAAATGGCACAGACAGTCAATACAAAATGTCTTCACAGTCCAGTAAGTAGTTTTACTCATCAATAGTGTTAGTAAAAGAAATAGATCAATTTCTAAATTCCAAATATTGAAGAAAATTTATTGTTAAGTTTTTTACAGTTCTATTGAGATTTTGCAGAGGTACTTACAGAATGTTTACAGTTTTGATCAAGGATTGCAGTGTTTCATTGTATACATGAATACTCATATCTTTCTTCAATTAACTCAGGTATAAAATAGACTATGTCTCAGCTGAGAAAGCATTCCTGTTCAGTGTAAACTTCAGTGCCTGTTTTGAGACTGGTGGTGATTGCATGCTAAACTTTCCTATTATGACTAATACCAAAATTCCCATGCTGGGATGCAACTTCAAAAACCTGTCATTTGCCATACCAGGTTGGTTTACATTTTATTAAATTTCAGAGTTGAATTTCAATGTCTTTGATCATATAAAATAAAAAGTAAAAATCTTGTCAGTTTGAAAAGCAAAAACATATATATATTTGATCACTCAATGTATGTACAAGATTTCTAGTGTGTTGGAGAAGCAGATAATAAAATTCACCAATATTTTCAGGGTTTGATTTCAATAGCTTCTTGACAAGCAAAGGTATATCTACATCCCTAACAACACTACCAGATCTGCTGTCAGAACAGTTACTGGAAACTCTTGGTGTAAAAGGATTCTTCAGCAGTAAACCCTGTAATAGATCTGACTTCACTGCAACATCATCAGGATTTGAAATTGGTTTGTTGAAGAATAAGTCCTGATCAATGTTCCCATATAAAAATCACTAAGTACGTCCCTATTATTAATACATCAGAATGTTTACTAACATTTTTCTGCCCTTTATTTTACAGCTTCCAGTTGTACAGAGAACATTTCTCCTTTCCTGTCCCCTCTGTCCAGTGACACAAACTGTCGAGTGTCTACTTCCTGTATGGACTTTCAGTGCTGTACAGACATGACTATCATTGGGAGAACCCTTAACTACAGAATCAGTGTGGATGCCTGTGCACTCTCTCTCCATATCCAGATAGAGAAATTCAAGTTTGAGCTGTCTCTGATAAATTTCCAGTTTGGAGTGCCTCAGAAATTCAGCATAGATCAAGTTTTCTCCCTGGAGTAAATGCTTTTACTTTTGAAATTAGAAAAAGTCTTTATTTTTGACATGTAACATTCAATAATTGTGCAGTACGTACTCGTTTATTTAACATTAGAATTATATCGCTGTTCTTTACAATATAGATACCTCATCAGAGATTTGAGTGGACAGAGACAGTACCTTATAGATGTTACATTGACAGTGTGCTTCAGTGATTCTCCATCATGTGTGATCAGAAACAACATATTACAGAATTACTTAGTTACCAAACCAGTGTGTGCATGGTACACAGGGTTCTCAAATCCAGGTAAATATTGCAAATACAGAGCTCCATAATTATGAATATCTTCAGATGTGGTGCCGGATGTTTAGTATGTAGATTTGTAAATATTCCTTTCTCCACAGTTTTATGATTAATAAATTTTATTTGAGATGTGAAAGAATTTAAGACAAGTCATTTGAACCATCTGAATAATTTAAATTTCTAATTCTCATTTTTCCCAAGGGTTTTCATATTCATCCTGGTTAACAACAAACAGTTTACCAACATCTGGGTTACTGGATAAGATACATACACCTAAATTATTGGAGGCACTTGGCATATCTAAGTACATGAAAACTCCATCCTGTGACAAAGACAAAGGAATTTATAGGAATTCATTTAATGGATGGAACTCAGGTAATAGATTTATCAAAATGGAATTATTATAATTTTATTCATGGATTATTGATTATGAATAATTAAAGGAATGATCATATTTTTAGAAAATTATTTTTTTAGTAGATCAGATAAATTGTTTGCAAGGCTGAATCAATTTAATTGCAGATTGCCATCTTGATGACAGCATTAGGAGACCCAGTATAGATAAGAATCTGGCCACCTGTTTCCTGGACAAGACTTGTACAGGAGTTCAGTGTTGTATGCAGATCCCCAGAGTTGGCCTGTCTGTAGAAGCCTTTGTGGAAGTCAGTGCTTGTGACCATCAGCTCAGAGTGGGCATCGAAAATCTCAAGTTTAACAAAAGTTTGCACAATTACAGATTTGGAGAATTGGAGAAATTTGATTTGTTTGGGTTCATTGAGATAGAGTAAGTTTCTACATTCTTTACCTTCGTATCAAATAACTTGGATTCTGAATTTGTATATAAATTTATCATTTTTTATAATATATAGGAATGAACTTGTGAAAAATCTTTAACATTGATGGATTAATCAATCTGCCATATTAACTCAAATTGTACTATGTCTAAGTTTTATGTTGTAGTTTTGTGATAACAGACCTTGCTTACAATGGTGAGGGAGGAGAATATCTTGTTAACTTGAACATGAGTGTCTGCCTGGAGTCAGGACAACCCTGTCATCCCGTCGTTCCAGTATTCAGTAATACAATTTTACCAAAGGGAGTGTGCAACAGAAAGCAAGACTTCAGAGACAAAGGTTAGATTGTATTACATCCCTTGATAATGATAATGAAGTACTCGTGAGAGATTCAGATTAAATGCTGCAAAACTTAACCATTCATGAATTACAATGATTTTGAACATATTCCAAATATTTTTTTTATGTAATGTACATCCTCAATATGGTATACATTTACATCTTGAAGATGTACATTACAGTAATTTGAATTTACAATACTGGACATGCTTGTTGTTAGCATTCTCACTGAAAACATGGAAAGCTGCACATGGGGTGGGATCATCTTTGGATATCCATCATGTAAAACAACTGTTTCAAGATCTTGGTGTGGGTCCCTACCTACTGAGTTCATTAGAGAAGTGTGACTGGAATGAATACCCGTATAAAGCAGCTAATTCTACTGGATGGGTCGATGGTATGACAATGAAATTCATACCCTATTAAAAATGAATTTTTGAAATACCAGAAATTATATCATTGAACATGTTGAAGCCTGTTTTTCTTTTGTAGGTTGTGAGACAGAAACCAAAGGCTTGAGTTCATTGGGGACACACACAAGATGTGTGATTTCCAGATCATGTGGTGAAGTTAAGTGCTGCCTGCACTCAGATGTCCTTCAGATGAACTTGAATACTTTCATTAACATAGATACATGTAATGGTAAAATATATGTAGGAATTGAGAAATACCAGTGGAGCCACAAACTTCTGGGATACAAATTTGGAGAGTTGAGACATATCTCCTTGTTTGGAATGATTAATATGGAGTAAGTAATGATCTATTTTGCTTATTGTTCAGCAAAAAATCAGTTTTGGAATGGAATTTGCCAAGGACATTGCTTACAATATAGTTTGACTTTCTGTTTCAGCTACATTATAACAGACTTAGTTACATCTTATGGAGTAAGCCTTAACTTGAGTGTATGCTTTGAGTCATCTGGAGCCTGTGAAATCAGCATTCCTGTTTTAAAGGAAAACAAACTCACAAAGGCTTCTTGTAACTGGACCAGGGACTTTGTTATTAATGGTTTGTATGAAAATAGTTTTAAATTGGAATTTACAGAGATTTACTTGCAAAGAATCCTTACAATGTAATAATAATATTTTTGATATGTTCTTTATTGTAGATTTCTCCTTGGAGAGTTGGTTGGACATGAAAGGTTATGGAGTTGATGCCAGGCTACCCTCCTATGCTGTGTCAGAACTGATGCATGACCTTGACATCATTCAGTATCTTGGAGACTCCAGCTGCAACAGGAAAACTATTCCTTTCCATCCCAGTAAAAATGGCTGGAACAATGGTCTGTAATAGTGTTGAATAATAAGAAATAATTTTGTTGCTGCTTTATCACTTCTTCCAAATCAGTCTCTTATTTCTAAATGATTGATTAGCTACTTTTTCCTTATATGAACATTCATCATATGCTAAAAATTGTTTTTAAGTTTGAAATTACAGAGATTTGTGAGCAGAATGATGTTAGATTTGATGCTTTTGCAGGCTGTGATCAGTATGTGTCACTGACGTCCATCAGCTCTAACACGACCTGTCACCTGTATGATTTCTGTACTGGAGTCAGGTGCTGCTCTGATCTCCCTGTACTGGGGAGGGCCATCAATGCCTGGTTGATACTGGACCACTGTAACTACAGACTCAGTGTGGGCTTTGAGAAGTTCTCTGTCAACATCAGTCTTTACACATACTCTTTTGGAACACAACAAACTATAAATGTTAATGGAGTCATGAGACTGAGGTATTAAAAAGAGTTTTTTTTGTTTTTTTGTAAAAGGCAAAGCAGATTTCAGTTTAGATATTAATGTCATGAGAGTAAATTTACATTAACTAATTACAGTATTGAATAATGAAAACATTGATTTTTATATCTCTTGTCAAAATATTTATTGTTCTACAATTAAATTATCATTTTGTAATACATGTTAGTGAATATAATGCTATTATGCATGCAGTTTTACTTTTTAAAAACAGATTTACTATTGATGATCTTTCAAGTGAGCGAAAATATCTTGTAAACCTAAACCTGCAGATTTGTTTTGAGTCATCCAAATCATGTACTGTTGATGTAGATGTATTCACAAACACAAAACTGCCAAAGAAACCTTGCGATTGGACAACAGATTTTCTTGATGATAGTAAGAAGTTTTACAGCATTATTTGAATCAATTACTGAGTGCAGTAAATAAACAAATAAAAAGGTTTTAAACATTAAATTATGTTTCATATGTGAATGTTTTAAACATTAAATTATTTTTCGTAGTTATTTTATAATTTAATGCTTGATGACACTGTAGGATTTTCATACAACATTTGGAGACTTGGGAAGAGAATCTCTACACCTGGCTTGTCTGAGAATAACCTGGCACAGCTCATGCAAAATCTCGGTCTGTCTCAGTTTGTGTACAAGGGCCATGAAAGATGTAGCCATGTAAAGTCACCATTCATTGGTGCAACAAACAACTGGATCAATGGTGAGTCTATTTCATGTGACAAATAAAAATAACCATGTCTCTCTTTCAACAATTTTGTGTTTCTATTACTTGAGTACCTCGAGAGAATTTTCATACCCTGTAAAATTGTATTCCTAAAAAATTCTTGAATACAAATTCTCCAACTCATAGTAATTCAATCCTAGACTCTGGAGCAGATATTGGACCACAAAGGGAGGCAAAAGCTTAAATTTTTTTGAAAAAAAAGGATTTTTTTTAAATCTAAAGAAGGACAAACTTTTAGATTCATATTGCAAGATTTTTATGCATACATTTCTATGTAGTGCTCATTCAAATTTGATTCATTTATGTACCTGTCAGTGATCTTGTAAATAAAATTAATATTTGGAGATGTAAATATATGCCCTACATTTCTGAAATCACAATTTTCAGAGTGTAACCAGACACTGGTCCATCCTCTCCCCTCCCTGTCTGGTAAACCAGCAGTGTGTCACATCTCCAGCTCCTGTGCTGACATCCAGTGTTGTGTGGACGTACCAGCCATCAGTTCCTCCTTCTTCACTAAGCTAGAAATTGATCCTTGTACATTCCAAATGGTTGTCAGCATTGACCAACTGAGTTTCTCCAAGAACCTGTTTGATTATGAATGGGGAAGAGAAGAAGAAATGTGGCTCTTTGGAGTAGTCAGAATGACGTTAGTTTAACTTTTATGTAAAATCACAATGCATTTTTTCATGCTCTGATTTTTAATTTATTTCAAATAAAATCTGATATATCTGGTTTTAAATTACTCAGGTTCCAGGCATTTGATATGTACACAGATGGGTACTTCATTATAAACTTGAGACTGGACGTGTGTTTAGAAGCCCTGAAGGTCCCAAATTGCAATGTCTCTGTTAATGTACTTAAAGATTACTATCTACCCAAGAAAGTTTGCAAATGGGATGCCCCCTTCATCATTCCAGGTAACCTTATTTTGTGCATTGGCTTCATAAATTCAAATTGAAAATAATTGATTATAGGTGTTTTACTTACAGACCTGTTTTATTTACAAAAGTATTCACTAATACATGCTTTTGGTTTGTTAGGATTTTCATTAGATGAATGGACAACAAGTGAAGGTGTGGCCAGCACAACACCTTTGGAGAGTGGATCAGTGGATAACCTTCTGTCGCATCTCAATGTGGCTGCCTTCATGTTGTACCCATCATGTTCATCAAGTGATTCAGTTTATGGTGATGCTGCAGATAAATGGAGAAAATGTAAGTACATATCATGACAGTTTTCAGTTTAGTTTAAATTTTTATATTCCATTTGTTGTATTTATGTACACTAAATGGGATCAAGCAGGGAGCTAAGCATACTGTAGAATTTTTATTATTTCGCTATGTACATGGTCACAAATTTTCTGCAGAAATTTGTCAAAGCATACTTAATATAAAATTATAATTGCAAGGCATATAGTGCTAATTTGAGAAATCCGCGTAATTTTCAACCCGCGGATTAAACGGAAATTAAGATTCCGCGGAATTATGACCCCGTGGAAAAAGTACGAATACAGTATTTTAAACCTTTTCCTTGATCATGTTGAAATTCACCCCACCCCCCAATAGGGTTACAAATATGTGAGCAGCGAGTATTTGTGTCATCAAAATGTAATTTATTTGGAGAAGATCCAGTGTTGCAATATATGCAGCAAATCTGGAAAAACTATAAATTTCAAGTTCAGGTATTTTCTTGTAGATTGTCCCCTGGATGTTCAGAGGTCCTTAGAAAGAGTGAGGGACAGAACACTGTGTACAGTATCAACAACATGCTCAGACATTAAATGCTGCATCAGTGTCCCCCTGTTGAACAGGACCTTTGAAGTAGGAATCAACGTTGACTATTCTTATCAGAAATTGGTGGTTCATGTTGAGAAGATGTATCGAAAACACTCCTATGTTGGATTTGAATTTGGCAAAGATTATTTGCTGAGCATAGCTGGAGTTTTGAAATTCAGGTAATTTTTAATACAATGTACAATAAAAAGAAAAGGTTATGATCAATCAACTTAAGTTTTATTAATTTGAAAACTCTTACTTGTCATGAGTGGGTCATACCTTTAACTACTTCTTTTTGGGACTGGATGCATTGAACAGAAATTCAAAAGAAATCATTGCCATACAGCTGAATTAATCAAAAGAAATCATTGCCATACAGCTGAATTAATCAAAAGAAATCATTGCCATACAGCTGAATTAATCAAAAGAGATCATTGCCATACAGCTGAATTAATCAAAACAAATCATTGTCACAGTTCCTTCCATTTTGTTTGTTTGTTTTTTTAATGTTTTTGACATGCAGTTTATTACTGCATCCTCAGAATTTGTGAACAGTTATTATAACTTTATTATCTTGATTTATTAGATACAAGTTAAATGATCTTTCTGATGGAGATGTCCTGGATATCACAATGTCAGCAGAAGCTTGCTTTGAGGATGGAGCTTGTGTATTGAATATTCCAATTCTCAAAAACTTGCTGATACCAAAGAACCAGAAAAAATGGGATTCACTCTTTTCAGTTAAAGGCAAGGATGCTAATATATAAACCAATTTTTTAAATAGTTTTTGTATTGCGAGTAAAAATGTGAAGTAAATACTTAGCCTTATGATACTATTTTTCAGATTTTTCAATAACTCAGTGGTTGAGTGAGATGTACATACCAGAAGGTGACATTTTACAGAAACACCAGTCAGATGAACTTTTTGAGAGCCTTTCTCTCAGACCCTATCTCAAACCAGACTCCATATGTAGTACAATCAAGTCCTCTGCAGGTGGAACAGGCTGGGTTAATGGTAACTTGTTTATGTGTTTTCCTATTTTTCATTTATGTTCGTGTTTCCAAAGACAAATTTTCAAAATAAAAAGGGTAAATGAATGCAATTTTGCAGGACTTTAGTGTACATTTAGTATGCAGTTTTAGGGCAAATAATGACTTGATTTACAATGAATATAATAAAACTTTTAAAATTCTTCACTTAAGACAATTGATGTTGTTTTTATATTATAAATATTTTATTTCATCTTCGTTAACCGAGTGTCCGATTCATGATGAGAGTAAACAAACTGGACACCTGGCTAAAGTGAAGAAGTCAAACTTGCCAAAAAGCATCTTTGTTAAGAGGAAATTGATTAAGGGATGATGATTAAGAAATACTGGTACATGTAGTAAAAATTGGGATGGATAATGTACTAAGTAAATTCTTTTGATCTGTTTTTGATTTTGATGAACTTTTTTTCTAACTGCAGCTAAACATGACTCAGAGAGAGACTCAATCAAGGATCTCAATTTTGTTTATTGCTGTTGCCAAATTTTCAAATCACAATGTTTTTTGTTTCTCTACCTTTGTTATGGAAAAAGCAGTTGAGCTATAGTCTCATCAGAGACTTCTGGTTTTATTTTTCAGACTGCACTGACTTCACAAGCGTGTCCTCTCTGACCTCTTACCCCTTGACCTGTGAACTTGAAAGATCCTGTAACAAAGTCACATGTTGTGTAGAAGCCACGCTCACAAATTCTTCATTTGAAGTCACCATGGACATTAATCCTTGCACCAGGACTCTCACTTTAGAAGTAGAAAAACTGAGAGCCACAATTCCATTCTCAGATATTGCATGGGGTATGAATTTTTAGAAGTTTTGAATGAATGTGTTTTTATCTCTACTGGTCAGAAGTGAGAGGACCTTATGCATAGGTATTAGTAAAGAGTTTTTTCTGTCCATCTGTCTGTTTATCTGTCAATCTGTAAACAATTTTTCATAATGGTACTCCTCCAACAGTTTTGGTCCAGTTTCAGTATTACGAAGTACACAATCATGTAAACTTTACTTAGGTACATAATTCCATATGTATTGGTGGCAAATTTTGACTAAAAAAGAAATTTTAAAGATCCTTTTTAAAAATTTCTCCTGCAGGTTTGGTCCAATTTCAATAAGACTTTGGACACAGAATAAACATTCTTAGTAGTCTTAAATACACAGTGCTTTATATCAATTTTTGATTCAGAAAAATGGTGTTTCCTTATTTACTAAAAGTAGAAATTTCTTTTAAAAGCTGGTACTACACCTACAGTTTTGGTCTTTCACTTTCACAGCAAAAGTCACGTAGACTAGTATACTAAGATAACATCTTTCTTTATTGTGATACACAGCTGTAGAGTTACAGTCTCATCAGAGACTTTTGTTTAAACAGTTAAATTCCAATGTTTATAAACTCAGAATATAATTCATTAATTAGGTTTGTTTTATGCAAAATTAAATAAGTAGACCAGAGGCTACTGAACATATTGAACTTCTGTTTGATTCTTTCAGGAGAGGAACAATCTTATTATCTATTTGGAGTTATTCGAATGGAGTGAGTTCCTTTACATATTACTTTTTCTTTGGTTGCCTTATTGTACATATTTATGGGTATGAAGAATGTAATAACACTACCAGTATTTTGGAATGCACTTTTTAACATTTCAGTTACAAAGTCTATGATCTTTCTGCTGAGAACATATTTCTGATGGACTTGAAAGTATCACTTTGTTGGGAGAGGTATAAACCATGCACCTTTATTGCAAATGTTTTCAAAAACTCCATGCTTCCAAAAAGAAATTGCGAAGGAAAGATGCATTATGAAAAACCAGGTATGTTTTTCTAGATGACAGCTGCATGGCACTATGTATCTGCATAACGGCACTATGTATCATATTCTATATCTATAAAGTTATTTATATAGCATACATAACTTCACTATACCAGTGAATTCGCTATATCCATGTTCGTACTAATGGAGTTTTGCTGTATAAGGTTATATACATACATATACAATCTTGTTTTGTTGTATACAGGTTTCTCCCTGTCAAACTACAGTACAGAAAATAGTCTTGATCTGAACAATATGACAGACAGGAACTTGGTCTATTTGTTTGACTACATAGGCGTTTCTAGCTACATCACTGGACCTTCCTGTAACAGATCTGAGAGTGGATTTCTACCCAATACAAATGGATGGAAAAATGGTAAATACTGAGCTTCATGCATATCGATATACCCGTAGTTTTGAAAAATAACCAAAAATCAAAGCTTTAGGATGCTACTTGACATGAACAAGTATATTTAAAATTTGAACATTTTAACATTCCTTTCTTAGAGTGTCCCACCACAATAACTCCTGGACTGTCCTCTTTGCCGGACTATGTAACCTGTCATATGATGTCCAGTTGTACCAGTGTTCGCTGTTGTATGGACTTAACCAGGCTAAAATCTCAGTCAGTCCAGTTCTACTTGATTATGGACTCGTGTGAATGGGTGGTTGAGTACGGAATTGATAAATTTGTGGTAAAACCGACTGCCATGTATGGATTGGAGTTCAACAAATGGCAGGACTATTGGATGAAGGGGATATACAGACTTAGGTAGGAATATATAGAAAATATTAGAGATTGAATGTTGTACAGAAAAATAATGGAATAAATTTTGTAAAATTTTCAAGATGCCTTTGTCATCAATAACATTTCACAAATTTTTATTGAAAGATTTTATTGTAAAAATAATTATGTTTGTTCGTATTCAGCAACATTGTGTAATGGTTTGGGCCGTGAATATTGGCCCGGATAACTCAGTCAGTAGAGCACCTGACTAGTGATGCAGGGGACCGGGGTTCGATTCCTGGTCCAGCTACATTTTCTCCCTTCCTGTTACAAATGAAAGACTTAGTACTTTTTAGCTCACCTGAGCTGAAAGCTCAAGTGAGCTTTTCTGATCACTCGGTGTCCGTCGTCCGTCCGTCCGTCCGTCCGTCTGTAAACTTTTAACATTTTCAACTTCTTCTCAAGAACCACTGGGCCAATTTTAACCAAACTTGGTACAAAGCATCCTTGGTTGAAGGGGAATTTAAATTGTTAAAATCAAGGGCCAAGACCCCTTCCAAGGGGAGATAATCAAGAAAATACGAAATTAGGGTGGGGTCATTAAAAAATCTTCTTCTCAAGAACCACTGGGCCAGAAAAGCTGACATTTATGTGGAAGCATCCTGGGGTAGTGTAGATATGAAATTGTTAAAATCATGACCCCCTTGTAGGGCGGGGCCACAGGGAATCCAAGTTTTACATTATATAGAACAACACACTTCTTCTAAGAACCACTGGGCCAGAAAAGCTGAAACTTATGTGAAAGCATCCTTGGGTAGTGTAGATATTAAATTGTAAAAATCATGACCCCCAGGGGTAGGTCCAAGTTAAAAACAAATGTTGAAGGCTAGTGTAATATAAATTGTTAAAATCATGAATAGATAAATTTTACATGGAAATATATAGAACAAAAAATTTTTTAATGAACCACTGGGCCAGAAAAGCTTTTCATTTGTTTTAAAATTGTTAAAATCATGACAGTTCATGGACAATGACAATCCAAGTTTTACATAGAAATATATAGAATAAATCTTTAAAAATCTTCTTCTCAAGAACCACTGGGCCAGGAAAGCTGAAACACAGCATTGCTAGTGTACTATTAAATTTTTTAAAATCATGACCCCCGGGGGTTGGGCGGGGCCACAATAGGGAATCCAAATTTTACATGGAAATATATAGAACAAATCTTTTAAAAATCTTCTTCTCAAGAACCACTGGGCCAGGAAAGCTGAAACTTAAGTGGAAGCATCCTTGGGTAGTGTAATATTAAATTGTTAAAATCATGACCCCTTGGGGTAGGGCGGGGCCACAATAGGGAATCCAAGTTTTACAAAGAAATATATAGAACAAATCTTTAAAAATCTTCTTCTAGTAGAACCACTGGGCCAGGAAAGCTGAAACTTATTAAGCATCAGTGAATATTAAATTGTTAAAATCATGCCTGGTTAGGGCGAATCAATTCCAAGTTTTACATAGAGATTTATTGAACAAATCTTTTAAAATCTTTTTGATTTAGGCCAGGAGTCACTTTGTGGAAGCATTTTTAATATTAAATTAATATATGACCCTAATCCAAGTTTTACATAGAAATATATATGGAACAAATCTTTTAAAAAGATCTGCATCACCCAAGTTACTCAGGTGAGCGATGTGGCCCATGGGCCTCTTGTTCTGCAAATATTATAGGATGTTATAGCAGAGTTGGATATTTTTATTTAATAAGGAAAATCTTTCTCTATAGTAGAGACATTTGATACAGAAATTGTTCAATTCCAGGTTTAAGATAACAGACCTGCATGGGGCAGAGTATTTCAGAGTCAGCCTAACATTCATGGTCTGTCTAGAAGATGGACTGCCTTGTGAGCAGGAAGTTTCATTATTAAATAACACACTTTTACATAAGCCCTCTTGTGATTGGAAGATAGGAACAGGGATCAAAGGTCAGTTAAAAACAAAAGTTGAAGGTTGGAATATAAATTTCTATGATTAGATAAATGAACTTAAATTATTTTAATGTTGGTCCATTTTTCATTTGTTTTAACAGATTTCACACTCAGTTCATGGAAGACACAGAATAAGTACACAGCAATGGAGGAACACAGCATTGCTAGACTGGAAGAGGTTCTAGGAATGCATGGGTACCTTTATAACTCCACCCAAGTCTGTGAAAGAACATCAGGAATATTTACCTCCCCTTCTGCTGGATGGACTAATGGTAGTTTTCAATGCATATAGAATTATGCATTGTTTATTATCAGTGAATATTATGTTAAAAGTGCCTGGTGAATCTAATTCTTTTCTTATAGCTTAACTAATGCAAACTCTTTTTGATTTGAAGTCACTTTGGAATTTTTGAATTTAATATATGAATTATTCTACAAAGATTGCCCGATTGCCCTTCCCAACAATGTACCTGTTGTAAGAGGAGCCATCACGTGTAACCTGGGAGCCTCCTGTTCTGATGTGGTGTGTTGTCTGTACGCTGAACCTCTGATGAAACATGTAACTATCAGCCTCAGTCTGGACTACTGTCAAGACAGAATCAGTGTCGGGATAGACAAGTTCACCAGGGAAATACAGCCTAGCTCTTACAACAACTGGGGTAATGGTCATTTAAAATTCGAAAATAATTTTTTTTAATCCTCTGAAAGAAACATTTTGATCATATTGGTTAATTTCTGAATTTTAGGCACAGAGGAAACACTAGGAATGAGTGAAATATATCAACTTAGGTAAGTTTTAGTATCAAATACAATGAACATAAGAATTGTTAACATTTACTTTCTTTCACTATAAATCTTTCCTACCAATCCTTGCATACTACAGTATGACCACAAACTTAGAGTTAAAGATGGATGGAGAAAATTTTACTTAACATACAAAATACTAATCCTTAGAGATAAGTTATAGTAATTTTTCCCCTTTCTTATAGATACACACTAGAGGATCTACCAAATGCCAACATGGACTTGGTCAGTTTTTCCATTCGTTCTTGCTGGGAAGGTCCCTCTAATTGTGAGGAATACATTGTTCTTTCCAACACCAGACTGCCAAAGTCTAAATCCCAGCCATACTGTAACTGGAAATCAGAGGAACCTATTCCAGGTAATGGATTCTGAACATTTGATAAATTGGACTTACATGTCTAAATAAGCAAATTGCTTGAATACATTTCAGAATACCGGTACAACTATTTAAAAGGGTTGACTCTCTGCTTACTGGTACATGTACATATTGATCATATACATACTGTTTTCTGATAAGTCAATTTTATGCAAATTTTCAAGCAATATTGGCAGTCAGAAATAAATAAATGTTTGGAAAAAAAAACTAAAAACGCTTTATCAAAGATTATTTGCCTTTTCTTATAAGGTCCATCCCTCTTTAATACTGTACATTATTTATATTAATGAAGGGGAGATAAAAACTATTTGTTGGTGGATGGGTGGGGGTGCTGGTTGGTAATCACTGGGTTGAATACTCTTTTAATGCATTAAATGAGCATCATATGCAGAACATACATATTGCTCAAATTCAGGTTAAAAAATCTGCTCAATTATTGTATTGTATGCTATTTTAAAGGTTTCTCTACCAAGGCTTGGCTGGCCACCAATGGATATCCAGATTCCACACCACTGAAAGGAAATGCATTACAGGATCTAATGGAAGTTCTACAACTGTCCAGGTTTAAGGAAGAAGACTGTGAAATAACTGCAGCTCCATTTGATCCTGTCAACATAAATGGCTGGAATAAAGGCAAGATCAATAAACACTTGCAAAGTCCTCAGGAATTCAAAATTTATATAATATAATATGTTCTACGGTGCAACCGTTGGGGCGATTATTTAACTATCAAAAACCTTTACACTTTTACTTGCACTGTGGCATCGGGAAGTTTCCGACAAAATCGGAAATACCCGAGCCGTTAAAGTGACGAAAGTATGATGTCAAATAAAAAGTCCAGTTGACTTAGAACACAAATGATAGTTTTGTGGCATGGAGATTGCATTTAATCGTTGTTTGTAATTTTTTTATATACCGCAAAGGATTATTGGGATTGTTTTAAAAATTTCTTGGATCAATGTGCAGATTTCAACCTGAATTTCCTCTGTTTGTACACGTTAGTCTATTGAGCTCGCTATGCGAGCGGCGCTTCGAGCCGCCTCGCTGCGCTCGCTATAAATTGTTTATTGGTGATCTTCATCAAGACATGGGTGCCATATTGTTAGCTCCATTTATATCTTTCTAACACTTTCCTCTGTCAAATTTTATGTAATGTCTTGCAAATTTTTAACACATTATCAAGAGAGAAATCAAGAGATTTGTATGCCCCATGTTCAAATTCAAGATTTTAAAGGTCAAAGTAGTAAGTCAAGACCAAGTCCTAATTAATCTTTCTATTTTCTTGTTGAAAATTAAAAATTATATGCAATGTAATAAATTCCTTTGTTTTATGTGCAATCAGAGTGTCCAGACAACCTCACACTTGCTAGCCTTCCAAATGCCTTTGCCTGCCATATTCCTGGTGACTGTACTGGAGTGGAGTGCTGTATACCCAGTTCTACTCTTGGGAGAACCTTCCATACATATCTGGACATAGATCCCTGTGCAGCAAAGATCACAGTCGGAATTGATAAATGGAAATTTACAGAGGTCTCCCTGGAAATTGACAAGCTCTTATCTACTAGTAAGTCTAGTAAAAATTGAAATCTTTAACAATTATACCTGAATTCCTTTTCTTTTCTCATTCAGGATTGCTTTCCAAAATCATATAATCTCTTATTAATTTTTCATGTTTAAAATGGTTTTTATTTTCATATAGATATGAAAAAAAGCGTATGGTTGCAAGGAGTTGTGCGTATGGAGTAAGTTTTTTTAGCTCTACTGGTCAGAGACCAGAAGAGCTTATGCGATAGTAATGCGTCCGTCATCCGTCCGTCTGTCTGTCTGTAAACAATTTTTCAAAATGCTACTCCTCCTACAGTTTTGGTCTGATTTCAATATAACTTGGCATACAAGTAGACTAAACTAAGATACATAATTCTGTATATCGGTTTTTGATTTCGATGAACGGTGTTGCCGTGGTTAATAAAAATAGAAATTTCTGTGAAATTCTTTCAAAATGCTACTCCTCCTACAGTTTTTGTCTGATTTCAATATACCTTGACACACAAGTAGACTACACTAAGATACATAATTCTGTTTATCGGTTTTTGATTTCGATGAGTGGTGTTGCCGTTGTTACTAAAAATAGAAATTTCTGTGAAATTCTTTCAAAATGCTATTCCTCCTACAGTTTTGGTCTGATTTCAATATAACTTGACACAAAAGTAGACTACACTAAGATACATGATTCTATTTATCGGTTTTTGATTTCGATGAGCGGTGTTGCCGATGTTACTAAAAAAAGAAATTTCTGTGAAATTCTTTCAAAATGCAACTCCTCCAACAGTTTTGGTCTGATTTCAATATAACTTGGCACACAAGTAGACTACACTAAGATACACAATTCTGTATATCAGTTTTTGACTTTGATGAACATTTTTGCTTTGGTTACTAAAAATAGAAATTTCTGTTAAATACTCTCAAAATGCTACTCCAAATACAGTTTAAGTCTGATTTTAATATAATGTGGCATGCAAGTAGACTACACTAAGAACATAAAGAGACTTAATCAAGGATGATTATTTTTTAGGTCACCTGAGTAACTCAGGTGACCTATTGCTATCCGTTTTCGTCCGTCGTCGTCCGTCGTGTGTCGTGTGTTAACATTTGAACATTTTCAGCTTCTTCTCTGAAACCACTGAACCAATTTCAACCAAATTTGGTATACAGCATCCATAGGTGAAGGGGAACAAAAATTGTGAATTTCATGGTCCCCACCCCCCTGGGGCCTGAGGGGTGGGGCCAAAACCACTAAAATTATTGCAATCTTTAAAAATCTTCTTCTTTACTCCTGGACATCAAGCAGGCAAACTGTTGACATGAATGTAATGAGCATTGAGTCCTCTACCAAAATTGTGAAATTCATGGCCCCAGGGTCAGGGGTTCTAGTGCTAGGGCGGGGCTATATAGATTATATAGTGAAAATGCATTATTTCTTTGAAAATCTTCTTCTCTGCTCCTGGGTATTAAATAAACTAACTAAGTACATAGTTATGATGAAAGAGTGCCTCTTCCAGATTTGTGAATTTTATGGCCCCAGGGTCAGGGGTTCTGGTGTTAGGGCGGGGCTCTATAAATTATATAGTGAAAATGCATTTATTCTTTGAAAATCTTCTTCTCTGCTTCTGGGTATTAAATAAACTAACTAAGTACATAGTTATGATGAGCAAGAGTGCCTCTACCAAAATTGTGAAATTCATGGCCCCAGGGTCAGGGGTTCTGGTGTTAGGGCGGGGCTATATAGATTATATAGTGAAAATGCATTATTTCTTTGAAAATCTTCTTCTCTGCTCCTGGGTATTAAATAAACTAACTAAGTACATAGTTATGATGAGCAAGAGTGCCTCTTCCAGATTTGTGAATTTTATGGCCCCAGGGTCAGGGGTTCTGGTGTTAGGGCGGGGCTCTATAAATTATATAGTGAAAATGCATTTATTCTTTGAAAATCTTCTTCTCTGCTTCTGGGTATTAAATAAACTAACTAAATACATAGTTATGATGAGCAAGAGTGCCTCTTCCAGATTTGTGAATTTTATGGCCCCAGGGTCAGGGGTTCTGGTGTTAGGGCGGGGCTATATAGATTATATAGTGAAAATGCATTATTTCTTTGAAAATCTTCTTCTCTGCTCCTGGGTATTAAATAAACTAACTAAGTACATAGTTATGATGAGCAAGAGTGCTTCTTCCAGATTTGTGAATTTTATGGCCCCAGGGTCAGGGGTTCTGGTGTTAGGGCGGGGCTCTATGAATTATATAGTGAAAATGCATTTATTCTTTGAAAATCTTCTTCTCTGCTTCTGGGTATTAAATAAACTAACTAAATACATAGTTATGATGAGCAAGAGTGCCTCTTCCAGATTTGTGAATTTTATGGCCCCAGGGTCAGGGGTTCTGGTGTTAGGGCGGGGCTCTATGAATTATATAGTGAAAATGCATTATTTCTTTGAAAATCTTCTTCTCTGCTCCTGGGTATTAAATAAACTAACTAAGTACATAGTTATAATGAGCAAGAGTGCCTTTTCCAAAATTGTGAATTTTATGGCCCCAGGGTCAGGGGTTCTGGTGTTAGGACAGGGCTCTATTGATTACAAAGTGAAAATGCAATTATTCTTTGAAAATCTTCTCCTCTGCTTCTGAGTATTAAATAAACTAACTAAGCACATAGTTATGATGAGCAAGATTGCCTTTTCCAGATTTGTGAATTTATGGCCCCAGGGTTAAGGGTTCTTGTGTTGGGGGGGGGGGGGACTCTATTGATCATATAGTGAAAATGCATTTATTCTTTGAAAATCTTCTTCTCTGCTTTTGGGTATTAAATAAACTAACTAAGCACATAGTTATGATGAGCAAGAGTTCCTCCTATAAAATTGTGAATTGTATGCCCCCTAGGTCAGAGGAGGGGGGGTACATAGTCTGAAAATAAATTAATGCTTTTAAATCTGCTCTTTGGTATTAATCAACCATTTTGTTTTAAAATTTGCAAAATTTTGAAATATGTGGCCCCTGGGTCAGTGGTTCCTTTAGGTTGAGGTGCACAACTGGGTATAAAGTGGAAGTGGATTTTCTCTTTGTTACTCTGATCTACCTCTGGGTATTAAGTAAATAGAGTAAGCATGTTAAGTTAATAATTATGATAAGCAATGGTGCCTCTTTCAAAATTGTGAATTGTGAATTTCATGGCCTCTGGTTTAATCCAAATTCAAGTGTTTGAAAGTTGTTACAAATACTCAGGTGACCTATAAGGCCTGTGGGCCTCTTGTTTATTGCTGTGGTAATGTTTCAATTCCCAACTGCTTAAGAACTTTTCTCTTCCTTTGCTATAAGTACAAACCAGTAGAGCTTCAGTCTCGACAGAGACTTCTGGTTTCCCTTCAAATTACAGAAAGAAATACAATGTACCCTTTACTGTGTGCATTTAAATTGTTCAATGTCAGACAAACATGATATTGAGTTAAATTTCTTTTGTTTTTCTAGCTTTGACATTAAGAATTTACAACACACAAATAAATATTTGATCAACATGAATATAAGTGTGTGTACAGAGAGTTCAGAAATTTGTGAAATTACCAACCAAACAATATTTAGCAGTACTCTGCTGTCCAAAGGAAACTGTCAGCATGATCGACAACTGCCACCAGGTACTGTATATGTACAGAAGCATTGTATAGAGGGAGGATGAAATCAAGGTTATAAAGAACATTTATTCAGTCTCTCTACTCATTTATCTCAGTTGAAAATGAAACATGCTGATTTTTTTTTACAAGTCATCTAGCTCTTTGAGAGAACTTGTTTATAATTTTTTTTTCTCAAGATATTTGATGTTTTATGTCTACACATTAGGGTTTTCACTGTTGTCCTGGAAGATAAACAATAGTTATGCCGCTAATGCCAGACTACCAGACTACCTCAAAGGAAAAGTAGATGACTCTCTGGGATTGCCTGGATATAGAAAGTCCTCCAAATGTAGCAGAAATGTGTCACCATATTGGCCAACTTATAATGGCTGGAATCATGACAGTGGTATCTTTTACTTTGCCTTAACAATACATTAACTTTGAGAATATAAAGACTTAAACTTGGTTCTTGGCTAACATTTAATAGAAAAATGCATGCAAATAGAAATTATGTATTATTTTGTTGAAAGCTTACGAATCACATTATATATTTTAGCCTGTCGAATCTCGGGACTTCCATACAACATGAAGAAGAAGACTTACTGTGTGGTGGGGCCTAGCTGTACATCTATGACATGCTGCACCGAGGATCCAGAGATGGATACCACCTTTACTTGGTTTATTGATGTTGACTCCTGTAATCTAAAATTCACTGTAGGCATAGAAAACAGGAAACAAGAGGAATTCCTTCTAGACTTTAACTTTGGTAAGCATCTACATTATATTTTATTTTTTTCAATAGATATTTCAACAAGACTTAGTTTGTTTAAAGAAAAATGAAGTTAATTTGCTTTGGTTAATAGGTTTGACTTGAGCAATAAAAATTTCTTCATTGATAAATAAGATGATGTTTTCTTCAAATTCTATATTCTTTGAATAGGTGAACAGAAACATTGCAGTCTTCAAGGAGTGTATAGAATAAGGTATGGAATTAAAATTTTTCATGTTAATTTTGGCATATTATCAAGGGTGCTGAGATTTTCTAAAATTGAATATCGCTAAAATTATTTAGTTTTAATTGGAAAAGCTTATTTAGTGAGCATTTTGAAATCACTTAAATTACATCTCGCTAAAAATAAGATACCAATTTTTAAGGTCAAATCGCTTAATTTCTCACTAAAATTTCCACTTATACGGTATGATATATTCATAAAACAGAAATTCCTGTCTATTTTTTGTTATTTTATAGCTTCATCATCTTTGACTTGGTCAGCGATTCGCACTACATGATGAGTGTAAATATCAGTGTGTGTTATGAACCAGATAACTGCACCTTGACAGAAAACATTGTAGAAAATATGATGTTCCCTAAGCCTGTCTGTGATTTTAAGAGCAAAGATTTTTTCCTCTCAAGTAAATATATTTATATATGAACTATTGGTATTCTTTAAATTGTGTAATCTACACAAAAGTAAATGAGAAGAATTATAGATATGGGTATCTATGCTTTGATAGCTATACAAGTTGTATTCTTTTCAGGTTTCTCAATGTCTAGTTGGTTGGCAGAACATGCTTTTATACCTCATTCCACATTACCATTGTATGGTCAGTTAGAACTTCTAGAGGATCTGGGTCTGGCTCAGTACATGAAAGACAAACAATGTAAAGAAACAGATGACATTTACAGAAGTCACACAGATGGATGGACTAAAGGTTAGTTTTACTGTAAAATTAAAATGCCTATTTCAGTGAAGTGTTTAGATGGCATACTTTGAGGGTCTATACTTTGAAGAGTGTTGATTAATGGTCTTTGAAGAGTGTTGATTAATGGTCATGTATTAATGCCTTGTTCCTAACTCTCTACAGATTGTCCACTCAGTGTGTTGATCAGCCCCCTACCAGCTGGACTCCTGTGTCACGTACCCTCTACATGTACAGCTGTCCACTGCTGTATAACCACAAACACACCACTACAGAGGTCCTTCAGCACTGTCTTAGATCTGGACCCCTGTAATCAAAGGATTTCACTGGGCATTGAAAACTTTGTTCATGAGATCTCACTGTATGACTTCCAGTTTGGTGAGAAAGAAACTTATGACATCTGGACTTTAAAAAAGGAAAGAAATTGTTTCAAGGATGTTTTCATTTCATAATTTTAGTCTAAAGAAAAAAATTCTTTTGTTGCAGGGAAAGAGCATTATTTTTTCTTGAACAATGTCATCCGAATGCAGTGAGTTGAAGATTTAATCTTACTCCTTTCATGACATTTTGTGAATGAATTACATGCACATGTACTTGTTATAACATATTACACATTATTATAAGACTCTTGAATATTTTTTTCAAATAAGGTACAAAGTATATGATTTGAAAGCTGACAGGAAATACCAAGTTAGCCTCAACATCAGCCTCTGTCTGGAGTCTTCTGGACCCTGTGTTCTGGATTCCATGCTGTTTGATAATGCTTTATTGCCAAAGAAACCCTGCAGCTTGTATACAGGATTTGTACAAAGGAGTATGTCAACCAATCAACAAATTTTTTCATAGCTCATCTTTTTAAAGCTAAAGAGAGGTTTATGTGTCCAAGATTTGATATTATTTTAAGCAGATATATTTGTCAATAAGATAACCATACCTGAACCAATCTTTAATGGATGATGCCTCCGATTATAAATAATAGGCATAATATGCATGCAGCATTTTGAGTAGCCAGTGTAATGTTTCAGGAATAGGTACCTTGGAGTTCCCAAGTAATGTTGAGCTACTTTTAACCCAAATTACACAGTGTTAAAAAAGTGAGCATTTACAGATTCCACCTTCTCCAGCTGCTGCACCTAACTATAGTTTCCAGATGAGTGCCAGGTGCAAACCTGAAGCCCTTCCTTTGCCAAACTTGCATCGATGATGGATCAAAGAATGCAGACTACCAGTCTTGCTTTGCATGTTGTAGTTGGCCTATATTTTTTTAAAGATGAGTGACCAAGTTTTAAGATTTTGGACCAGATCCATTTTTTAGTATACAGGCACTGCCTCTACCCAACTTGCATTGATGGTTGAAGTAGGGATGCAGTTGACCATTTATCAGATGGTTTTTTGCCAAATGATAATAATTATTTACTTTGTGTATCTTATTGAGTGTTTAAGTGGTTTATTTTAAGGTGTTGAGGTGAGCCATGTAATCTTTTCTTGTAAAATGATCACGTTGTCACAGGGTGTAATGAATTATTGTCTTATAAACACTCCTGCTATTTATAGATTTCTCACTGTCATCTTGGAAAGCTGAAAATCAAATAATGACAACAGATATGAAAGCCTCGGAGATTGCTTTGTTGCAAGAGTCACTTGGGATTGCTGAGTACCTGAAAGAGCCATGCTCCCGACAAGATGGCAACTACTTCCCACATAGAAATTATTGGAAGGATGGTATGCCTCACACAAATAAACTCTCCCTTGTGGTTTATTTCTGAACCATTTTGTGTTTCAAACAGACATTTCTTCCATTATCCATCCCCAGTTGTTTTAGATATTGTATTCTCTTTAGCTGCAGCAAAAGCATGCTATATTTTCAAATCTTCTTGAAATATGCAAAGGTTTCACATAGCATATTATGAAGAAAATCTAATTTGCTTCAATTTTGGAAAATAGTGCCTATGTATTGCTGTTAATTAATTAACAAGGGGATATATATGTACATATATGTTGTGTTGTGAATGGTGTTAAGAACACAAGTTAATTTCAGAATGTGGTAAAGTGACAGGAATGAGTTGGTTCACAGAATCTGACCACATCAACTGTTACCTGTCTGACACCTGTACTACTACATCATGCTGTGTGGAGGACTCTGTACTAAAGAGGAACATAGAGGTCAGGTTCAGCATCGACCCATGTAAATTCACCATGAAACTAGAGATAGAAAAACTGCAGTTCAACATCAGCCTGATGACCTTTACTTGGGGTATGTTTAGCTTTAAGGTTTTTTCAACTAATCTAATAGATATTCTTAATTGTGATTCCTTTAAAAGATATATCTTTTACTTTTGTGTTGCATTTATGCAGGTGAAACTGTCCAGATGGATTTTTATGGATTATATGTCCTAAGGTAAACATTTTTATTTTAACAAAAAGAGAGAACTGTGTCTAAGAAATTGACTTCAGGTATGTAAAATAATTAGGGTGGCTAAGATATGTCTGTTCTTTTGTACAGCTTCACTATGGAGAATTACTACATTGATCGGAAGTATCTGTTGAATATGAACATCAGCCAGTGCTATGAATCTAATGGAAGTTGTTCACTGCGCCTTGGTCTCTTTAAAGATTCCTTAATACCTAAAGGTGTATGTGACTGGTCCATGGATTACAACATCAAAGGTATATCTATAATGTAGACATGAATCTTATAATAATTATACTGGACAAAGAAGATTAAACTCTTAGGAATCTATTTAAAAACAAACTTAATGAATTTTCTTTCATTATTTCATCAGGGTTTTCCTTGTATTCATGGAGAGTGGATAGACGTCTTCCAACCTCAGCGGGAAGCATTCCAGATGAGTATCTCTTGCAACTTCTGGATGAAACAGGTTTAGCTGGTATTACCAAGCATCCTATGTGTGATAGATCAACTGGTATCTACAATGGTGCTGTCAATGGATGGACTAGTGGTAAAACTTTTTTTACGACAGAGTTTTGTGATTATAATTACCGGTACATGTAAGGTAGATATTTACATGTCAGATTATATTTTTTCTTGGACAGGCTGTGGAATGAACACTACATTACCCTTGTTGAATTCAGACCTTGGTTGTCACATGCTTCCTACATGTTCTGGGGTCCAGTGCTGTGTCAGTTCTCCAGAACTGAGGAGAGACTATGAAGTGTATTTCAGTATCGATCATTGTAGTCATAGCCTCAACATACAGATTGAAAAGGTCTTCCAGAACAAGACTCTAAATGACGTAGAATGGGGTATGTAGTCTAAATAAATAAAGCACCCACTCCTTACTATTTTACACAAAAATTGCTTATGGCAAGACTATACAAATTTGACTTTTGAACTGATGAAATAAATTGAGTTTCATTGACTTTGATTGCAGGAGTCTCTGAGGAATTTGGTGTGCTTGGAATATACAGAGTTCGGTAAGCTTATTCAACATGAAACAGCTAGTGCTATCCCTACCTATTTTATATGTTTGTAACACTATAAAGAGGTTAAGAAATTTGAAAGTTTTAAAATGCTCTTAAAAGCCAGTTTTAATAATTCTTGAATTGTTATTAGGTACACCATTGAAGACCTGCCTAAGGAGAGATCATACCTAGTGTCACTTGAGGCTATGGACTGCTATGAAACAAGACCCCCTCAGTGTGATTCTGGTACCAAATATAAAATCCTAGACAGGGTGATGTTCCCAAAAGGACTTTGCTCTTGGAATCAGGGCTTTGTGGACCCAGGTAATTGTCTTTCCTTTGAACAGTAAATGTTTAAAGAAAAAAAATACAGGACAATGAATAAAGAATGGGAGGGGGTGAAAATGGAGAATGAGTATACTTTTTGTAGATTCGTATACTTTTTTTCTGTACATTTACAGTTCATTATTTTCTGCTATTTTGTTGCCATTTGGTTTTGATTCTTTATAGACTTCTCTCTGAAGACCTGGCTGGCAGAGAACCATATTGTCAATGTGACAGGGTTAATGCAAACAGATTACAGAGTGTCCCAGCTGATGAATGAACTGGCCATCTCCCAGTATCTACACACCCAATCTTGTTCCCTGTCAAGCTATCACGTTGATGGTTGGACTTCCTGTAAGAAATCTGCAAAACATGAGAATTTGAAATATACTATCAGCTACATGTTTATGGCTTCTGACAAAGGCTAAATAAAATTGATTCTATAGTTCTTGGCTTTAGTGTGTCCCTTTTCAAGGAGTGCAATGCAACTTTTTGTTGTAAAAAAATCAAGTCGTGTCTTGTGTCTTCAGTTTATGTTACAAATTGTAGTAATGGAGTACTATAAGAATTCTTTTGCTTCATATTCTTAATTTCAGATTGTATAAATCATCTCCATACTGCTTGATAAAATCTTCTATTTCACATATAAAGAATGATCAAATTTCTTAACTTGAATTACAGCTTGTTCAAAGACAGTGATCAAACCCAACATCTCTGGGGCAGTATGCCACCTTAAGGAGGACTGTACATCAACAGAATGTTGTGTGGAGGTTGAGTACATGACTCGTAATATCAAGACCTACCTTAACATAGACCCATGTAGTTCAGAACTCAAAGTTGGCATAGAGAAATTCAGCAGGAACATTTCATTGACACAATACAAATGGGGTAAAACAGCATAATTTTCAAATATATATATCTACATGTACTAGTATATGAAATGAAGAACTAATTAATAGCTTGAATCTGGAAATCTGTGTAAATGGTTTTTTATGCTAAACAATTTCTTTTTTAGGTCAAACAGAAAGGCATTGGTTGGCTGGAGTTGTAAGACTAGAGTAAGTTTAAACTGGACACTAAGATTGCTTGTATCTTTAGAGTGTGTCCTGAACTTCATCTCTTTGTTATTTTTCCAAATTGAAGTAATTAAAGGAAGAAGTTCACTAGTTGATGTATCATGATGAGAGAAGTATTTTAAACATGAAAATACATTTTTTACAAGATATTATGTAGACTTAATTTGCATTCAGATAGATTTAAGCTCAAGTTGACATAAAGAATATCTCAGTGTTTCGGAAGGACTAAAGGTTGTGCATATTCACTAGTTAGTTACAACTTTGTACGAAAAAAGACTATGACATTATTAACCTTGAAAAAAAGGTTATACTGACCCAATTAATATCAATTAGAAATGGTCACAGTTACAGAAGAAATAGTTTGAACTTGTTGACACAATTTTGATTAAATTACACCTGGCACAAATTTTATGAAAGAAGTTCTGAATGTCCTTTAGCTTCACAATTGATGATTTCCAAGGAGAGAGGCTTTACCTTGTCAACATGAATCTAAGTCTCTGCTTCGAAGCTCATGGAGACTGTTTCAGAAGGATAGCCATATTTAGAGACACCATACTTCCAAAACGAAGATGTCCATGGGATATTAATACAGGTGAATTTATAATAATCATAATGAGATAGCATTTGCTATTTGTAAGCATGTTTGGCTTCATCAATTCATATCAATCTGTACTTTGTGATTTTTAAGGTTTCTCATTATCAAAATGGAAAAGTGATGAAAAGGTTCCAATGGGAATTCAGTTTCCAGACTGGGCAAAATACCTACTTCTTGAGCACTTAGACATAGCCCAGTATATGTATCCTCTTCCATGTAAGAGAGGGGTTGGCATGTTTTATGACTGGAATTCTTACCATAACTCTACCAATTCCACAGATGAAAGTATGAATGAAACACTGCATTCAATGTACACATCAAAAAGTAAGACAAACCTTTTGTTGCATGATTTCATATTTCTTACTGCAGTCTTGCATGATTAAAAATTTCGGTTGAGTTAAAATGATACTGTGTATTTCATAACAGGTCGATTTATATAAAACTATAAGACAAGGAATAAGTTTAAAATTTTTTATTTGGCTTTTTGGAACTACTCAGCATGAAAAAACATATATATACAGAACATGAACACAGAAAACATGTCTAAACTAGTAAAATGATATAAAAACAAAGGCGGATGGCTTTGAAGAAGAGGGTCGATGGCCCTTGTTGACCGATGGTCAGAGCGAGGCCGATGGCCTTAAAAACTGAAAACTAGGCCGATGGCCTGAGTTAATAGTGGCTGATGGCCAAGGTGACCGATGGTCAAAAGTACATCTTATTTTGGGGCCAATTAATACATGTCAAAGGGTCCATATAAGTCATTGCACTCAAACCAATTATAATACCCCAAAAGGAAGGGGTCCACAATTCTCTTTATTTGCTTGACTAGTATATATTTTGTTAATTCCCTAAATTAATTGTATATGTTGTTAGTGTGCCCGTTAGAGGTGAAGTTGGTGAATCGATCCTTGGATGCCAGATCAGCCACTCAGGTGTCCTGCTATCTCCCCTCACTGTGTACAGGGTTTCACTGCTGTGTAGATGTACCAGACCTCAACATGTCTTTCAATGCTTATCTCTCTGTGGACCCCTGTAATTACATCTTCACTGTTGGCATCGAGAAGTTCACCTTTAACAAGTCACTGGATTACTATACTTTTGGTGAGCAAGTTTAGAGTTTGAATAAATCTGTAAATTTGGATCTAATGATTTTTTGTAACATATTGAAATGTATTAAATATGTTCTTTACATTATATTTAAAGGTGAAGATGGATTATTTTCCTTGGCTGGGATTTTGAAGATCACGTATGAAATACCTTATATCTATATTTAACATGATTTGAAGAATGAATTTCAACTTGTTATCTAGAACAGAACAAATGCAATCTGGGTGTTTAATTGTATTTACTATTACAGATACAACCTACGTGACCTCCCTAATGAGAAAGTATACCTGGCAACAGTCAAGCTCAGTGTCTGTACAGAAAGCTCCTCATGTGAAGCCAACCATACCATATTTAACAATGTGCTGCTCCCAAAACAACCATGTGACTGGAATGAAGGATTTGTCAACTCAAGTATTTACTGTTTTGTAAATCTAAAAAAATTTAATTATAATATGTAACTATAGTAACAGATTGTTTTACAAGTTTATTGTATTAGACTCACTGCAATGTTCAGAGAAAACATGTTCATATGTCCTTAAAGTAACCATTTGAAAGTTTGTTCAACTCATTTCTTGAATGATTTAGATTTCTCTGGGTCAGCATGGATGATCAACAATGGATACACTCCTCCTCTAAATAAGCACCAATCATCTGAGCTGATGAGGGAAATGAAAGCCTCTCGCTACCTTATGGCCGAGTCTTGTTCACATACAGATGAAATCTATTCAAACCTGAAAGACGGGTGGAATAGTTGTAAGTAGAATAAAATTTTATTTTGAATTGGCCTTTGTTGGTACAGTATCTTGCAGGGTATAAATAAAATGTTCTCCTCTTTTAGTATGCCTAGGTGATACCAGTCTAAGCAATCTGACCTCTGACCCCGTTGTTTGTTACCTGGATTACTCCTGTAGTCTCCTGAATTGCTGTGTTAGTGTGGGGATGATTCGGAGGTCATTGAACGTCCAGATTAAACTCGATCCCTGCTCACAGAAAATGACTGTCAGTTTAGAGAGAATCAGCATAGAGGTGGACCTTCTGTCCTTTGACTTTGGTATGGGAATTTCTGGACACTTTATATAGTTGTATCTTGGGATATTGTAACCATTTATTTCCAATAAAAAATATCAAATGGTTGTTCATTTCAGGCAAAGTCCACACATTTAGTCTTGTTGGAATGCTGAGAGTGGAGTAAGTATATTCTTGAAAAAGTTATTATGTTTTGAAATTAAAAGAAAAATCAATATTAAACTGCCCTCAATTGCTTGTTTTGATATTTGACTTACATGTATGTTGAATTTAAGAACTTTCGGATGAATGATTTTGTAGATTGGAACTCCATGATCTTCCATATCAGAAGAAATACCTGATAGATCTGGCTGTGAGTGTGTGCTTTGAAAGTGATGGGAGCTGTGAAATTGTTGTCCCAGTGCTGAAACATGCAGCTCTCCATAAAGCAGACTGTGATTGGTCACAGGGGCTACTAGGTAACACATCACTGAATAAAATGTCTAAAATGCTGTTATTATAAATGTAACATTTCAGAAATTGAATTAAGTGGACTTTTCTCTTCAAAGGATTTTCACTCAAGAACTGGCTTGAAACTAAGGGAATAAATGCATCGTCTTCAAGTCCTTTGGAACCATATTTGGAACATCTTCTACTAGAGGATCGAGGAATAGCAAACATGTTATATGATGTACCTTGTAACAGATCTGATTCCTTTTATAATGAAACAACACCTATAAATGGATGGATAACAGGTGAGTTAACATAACCTATACTTTCTACAGAGAAAGCTTTTAATTGCTTCAAGTAAGCATGTAAATTTTATAAAGTCTGAGTCAAACCTTCTTGTTCAAGTGAAAGGAATAATCTTGGTACATGTATTTGGAATGCAAGTGTAACATATTTCTCCTCTCATAGTATTTGGAATGCAAGTGTAACATATTTCTCCTCTCATATTATAGCATGTACAGATAGTCTACACTTAACTCCCTTGCCTGATGGAATATCATGTCACAACCCTATATCATGCAGTGCTGTGTCTTGCTGTATGGAAATAACAAAACTGAACAACAGACCTGTGGAAGTAACAGTAGAATTTGATGAATGCTCCAATTTCCTGAAAATGACCATAGAAAGAATGCCAATGACCAGATATCTACATGACTTTATATATGGTGACTGCTTTAAATAACCCTTGAGTTTTAGATCCCTAAATACAAACAAACCACATCTAGCAAATCTTTGCTTGTATTCTCTGCCAAAAAGTGATCCTTATTTTAAGCAAAGGAATACTATTTCACTAAAGTTTATATTTTAATAATTATTAATAAATGAATATAACCATCATGGATTAGCAATTTTGATGGCAGGAATATTTGCAGTATAAGTTAATGTGCTAATGAAGTATTCTTTCATTCTTTAGATATTGAACAACGATTTTCTCTGAAGGGAGTTTTTGAAGTTGTGTAAGTATATATATACATAAAACAACAAAATTCCTAGGTTAGCAGTTAGTATTTTGCCTGCCAAAGAGTGTATGTACTCTTTTTTGGTCCTTTTTTCTTGTGTTTGTCTGAAAGAAGAAAACCTTCATCTTAGAGCTCAGAAGTTTCTTGCAACAAAACATCTCTTAAAATTCTTCAAAAATAATTGAGTTCAGTGTGTATTCTTTTGATTTCCTTGACAGTATAAGTCATTTTTAAGGAGGAAGGGGGAGGGGGTTGCATGCACTTATTAGAATATTTTAGTGTGAGAAATAATCCTGAAATTTTTTAGAAGTTTCACAGCCAGATGTATTACCTGTACCTAATACATGTATACTCAGAGATCTGAGCCATTATTTCACAGATCATGTATTGTCCCCAATTTTGAAATTTCAGAAAGTTCATGTATTTATAGGAAGATTATTATAGTGTTGCATGTATGTATTATCAAGTTCCTAGTCATAATATCATTTTAACAAAGATATTTTGCTACAATATGTTAGGTACACAATCACTCGTGATTCACAGAGGAGACAGTACATTTTTGACCTGAAAGTGTCAGCTTGTTATGAACCAGTTATGTGTGACCAAAGTTTCACAATTTTCAATCAAACAACATTTGGTATGAAGAACTGCAACTATGAGAAGGATTATTTGAATTCAAGCAAGTATTTTATGCAATAAATCTGTAGAAATATATTTTATATTTGCTTAGTTTTAAAGTGCTTACTATTTACTAATTTTTTTTCTCTGTAGATTTCTCTTTAACACAATGGATGGCATCCCATTCCATTGATCAAGTAGAAAACATCAAACCCTCACAAGCCAGTGAATTGTTGCTGGAACTTGGACTAGATCATTTCCTGTCAGCTCCAAAAAATGTTCCTTGTCAGATGGTATCTATGGATCAGCTGATATAAATGGATGGAACAATGGTAGATATATTATCTTTAACAGTAATACCGATTTAAACAGTATCTCAATTTGAATTCTGTTATTTCTTGCTTTCATCTACAATGATAGAATGGCCTTGATAATCATTATAATGTCTGGGGGTTTTTTTTCCTTTTATTTTGTAAATAAATTAAATTTTGACATAGGCATTTTGAAAATGAACATAACTTGCTTATGAGGAGGCACATAATTTACATTCAATGTGAGCTACCTTTGATTACAATTTCAGAGTGCCTGTTGTTTCCCAATGACACTTTAACCAACATCAGTGACACAGACACAGTCCGTTGTCATGTGCCATCCTCCTGTGATAGGGTTATGTGTTGTGTGTACATACAGCCCGTCCAGAGACATGCACAGATGGAGCTCATCATAGACATGTGTACCTATGACATGGAAGGCGTCATCGACAATCTTAAAGTACCATACAGCATTTTCAACCGTGACTGGGGTATGATACTCTTTCATTGTTTTCACTATATAAACTTAAGTTAGAATTTAGTCTGAAAAATAATTAATTGTTTCACTGTTAGAAAAGCATCATAATTTTCAATCCTGATTACAGGTAAAAAGGAAGAAATTGGCATTCATGGTATTGTAAGATGGGGGTAAGTTATAGGTTTAAAAAATATTACAAGCATACATTACAATTGCCTGTATACACTTATTAGACTTTAGGGCATTATGTAAATGACATTTATATCTGAACAATTACAGCTACCATGTGACTCCAGTTGGACCTATGAAGAAGTTTAAAGTGGATGGAGTAGTGAAACTTTGTTTTGAGAAGGGGCTATGTGAAACAAATTTGACTTTCACAGACCTACCCCTCCATTATAAAACTTGTAATGGCACTAATGGAGACATGCCTTTCCAAGGTATAAGTGTTTTTTTCCCTTATGAATCCTCTATTTAAATGTGTAGTATTTATTTTTAGGACCTTTTACCTTTATTTATCAATGATGTTTTTAGGTGTGAGTTATGATTTCTGGAGAGAAACACAATGTGCAGCCACAATTTTTAACCCAAGAGGTATGACAGAACTACAGGAACAAAATAATGAGATATGTACTAAATAAATTAGATTTGTGAATATCATGTTTGTATAATAAAACATGGTTACAGTTAACATGCTCTTAATGAACACCCCTTTACAGCAAAGTGATTTTCTATGGAACATACCCTGGTATTATGAACTTTACAAATCAGATATATTTATATAACAATTTACATTCTATAATGAAACAAAATTGATCATTACTGGCACTTTGTTGTATGCATATGGCATTAACACCAAATAAACATGATAAAGGGAAAGAATATTGAAAATGATGTTTAGTAATTTAATGTTGAAGACAGTTAATTCATCAACCTAAATGTGATTTTTTTTTAATTGTAAAGCATGTGGAGTAAACACAGTTGAAAATGTACCTCTTGATGGCCAAAGTCACTGTCAATATCTCCCAGAATGTAATGGCATAGAGTGCTGCTTTGACAATGCTTTTTACCTGGGAAATAGAAGTGTTTACTTCATGCTGAAAATGGATTGTACAAACCTAGAGGTCCAGATAGAATCAAAGAAGATGGTTAAATCCCTATCAGCACTGAGTGATGGTGAGAATAGAAATTCAAATAGCAACAAATTTTGTGATAAATCAAAACTGTTCTTATCCATTCAATACTATTGAATACTCAACAAATAAAATTTACTACTGTCAGAACTTTTTTCCCTTTCTTTCTGATGTCTCTCTCATTTTAGTTTATTTAAGAAATAAGGTTTCATTTTAAAACATCTATCGGGATATAAATACGTGTTGGTCACGAGACCATGATTTCGTACCAGCCTGTATTTATAGCTCGATAGAAGTTTTAAAATGATACCTTATTACTTATATTTTTATTTTACATTTGTGACTTATTCATATTTTATATTTGGCTTTTTATCACTTGAAACATGTGACATGTTTGATTTTTTAAAACTCAATGGCATGTATGTAATTAACTGATTGTGCGTTGACCCCCTTTGACGTCATTGAGAAATGACGTCAAACTTTGAACTTGTATCTATACAGTTATAGATTCGCATTGCATTCAATAGTATAATATTAAAGAAAACATTTGCAAATGTATATATATACTTGTCAAAATTTCTAAGTCCCCACTTTTATTATTTTAAGTATTTAAAAACCTTAACATTAATATACTAGTTGTTCACAATTTTGACTTAATTTTTCGATGATTGCCCGTTATGGCCAAAAAAATTGAAATCGAATGTGTAATTACTCATCCATGACCCTTTTCGTTAAAAGGCATGAAGTGCGAGTTTTATATTTTTTTGGGTGTATCTTCCATTTATTTAAATTGCAATGTGTTCTCCATCTTTAGTTGTTCAGGAAAAACAAAAAAAAGCTTGTTTAAAATGCCGTGTATGTAAGAACGACCATGTGCAAGTGAAGTTGCCATAGTCCAAGCTGGTAGTAGTGAAGAAAAGTTGTAATTCCTTCGTTTGTATTTGTTTATTTTATGTAAAACCGTTAA